GGGCGGTCCCTCCCCGCTCACAGCGCCCGTTCTGTGCTTCCTCCGCAGCGCCAAGAAGGGCAGAGTCCAGCAGGATCCCCGGGGAACGTGGCTGAAGGCAGCCATCCTCCTCCTCCTCCTCCTCCTCCTCCTCTCTGCCGCCGGCCTCGTGGCGTGGAGCCGCCTCCGCAGCCGGGATGGGATCCCCGAGGGTGGAATCCCCGCAGAAGGGGTCCCCGAGGGTGGAATCCCCGCAGAAGGGGTCCCCGAGGGTGGGATCCCCGCAGATGAGGTCACCGAGGTGCTGGCACATCGCAGCGACCACCTGCAGGACAAGTTCGTGGAGGTGCCCTGCTCGGAGGACTACGAGAGCCACAAGCGGTTCGCAGGTACCAGCACCAAACTTGGGCTGCAAACCTCCCGTGCTTGCAGCCAACTCCTGGGCACTGGCTTTTGTTTAAAGCCCCAAACGTTCGTGCCCCTTGGGCTAGCCCAGATGTTGATTTTTGGGAGAGGTTTTTCCCTTCTGAAACTGCTTTGCAAGGGCTTTATGAAATAAACCTTTTGCTGAGCTTGTTTTTGGTTTATTTTCATACTCTGTTGATTCCTGTAGTAGGTGTGAGTGAGTTTCAGTACCATACAGGGTATGGAGTGGCACTGATGCAGGACATTGTCTGTGCCACCAGCGTGTGGTGACTGCACAAGTGCCAGCTTTTGACACTTGTTGTGAGAAGTGTGTCTGCCAGTACAAAAGCACTTTTCTGTCTTTGTGTCTTTCTGCTGAGCCTGTTTTCTGTCAAATTCTGTTCCCCCTGGCACTTATTTTTTTGAAGTGTTGAGGTTGGTTCTACAAGAGACATGGAAGATTTTAATCTTCTCTGACAAAGAGCAGATTGTGAGAGAGTCTGACTTGCAGTTTCTGTGGATCAGTGGTGCTGATGCTCTCTTTCAGATTTGCAAAGTGTGTTGTGATGAACATTTTTAGTTGGCAGAGCTGCCAGAGAGCAGCTCTGCTCTTGGTTTTTGTCAGTATGTCTGTCTGTGTGTAGAATCTTAAAAAAAAACAACTTCTGAGTTAGTTTTTAGCTAAATTGGTAGTTGTGTCTGCTGATACAAAGCTGGAGGCTGGAAGAAACTGCTGTGAGCTGCAAAAAGAACAAAGGTGATCAAAGGGCTGGAGAACCCATCCTCTAAGGAAAACCTCAGGAAGCTGGGTCTCCTTTCTCTGGAGAAGGCTCAGGGAGAACACATTGCAATATTCCAGTGCTTAAAGGGAAGCTACAGAGGACAGAAGCTCTGCCTTTGCCTGGAGCTGCACAGAGAAGACAAGGAGTGGGTGCAGGTTGCATTGGGCAAGGTTTCATCTTGTTATTAAAAATATTTTACAGGGAAAATTTTACAGTCACTGGAACAGCCTCCCCAGGGATGCTGTGCAGACCCTGTGACTGAGGGTTTCCAGGGTGTGACTGAGCAGTGTGCTAGGTAATCTTATCCAGGCTCTCTTGACCACAAAAAGCTGAACCAGATGATCTTTGGAGGTCCTTTCCCAGGCTCTTCTGTGATTTTGCAATTTTTAACTTTCTTCTGTGCCAGTTCTGATAGAAAATGTTTGACAAATTGCAGACCCATGTTCTTCAGGTGCCTGGTCCTGGTGCTGTTGGTCAAAAAGACTTGTAAAATAAAAGAAAATTTTATGTGTAGTCTGGGGTCACATAGTTTTTCCTCAGTGCTGCTACTGTAGCATCTTTTTTTTGAGGATTCATCCCAAATGTTATTTAGGCCAGGAAAACTGATGTCAGGAAGCTACCCACAAAAAAAAGCTGTCTTGGTAAGGTAATTTTTTTTTACATGAGAACACATGTTCTGTGTTAACTTTTCATAGTTATTATTAGGGGAAACTGCTGCTGGGTGAATTTGGGTAGTTCTAGGCCAGATAAAACTGCAGCTGGTGATTTGGTTGTAATTGAACTGGGGCTAAAAGTCTCTGGATTCTGCTACTGCAGTGTTTGCTTTCCAAAAGAAACCCCCCAAACCAACAAAACTTTACTTTTCCCTTCCTTGCTTTGCAGGAGCAATTTTTTGAGCATGTGGTCTGGACCATCCTATCAGTTATCCTTTTCATTGTTTTCTTTCTATTCCTCCTTTTTCATTGTATTCTTTTCACTGTAAGGAAGGGAGGAACTTGAAGCACATCTCTCCAGGAACACGAATGAAGGTGTTCTTTATTTTTGGGGCGTCTGGGGAGCAGCAGCAAGTGCTGACTGTGGGGTGAAGTCTCACTTCTTAGCTTTTCATGGTGACAATTAACTCACCTTTCTAATTAGATTTTTGCTTGGTGCTGTTGCCTAAGTTCTGTGATTGATTTGGGTTTTTATTTATGGGGTTTTTTTGGGGTTTTGGATTTTTTTTTTATTTATGTTGTGACTGTGCTTTTGAGGATCACAACATAAATAAAATAAAAATTAATTGGTTGATAGAATAATATTATAAAATAATTATAAAATAATTGTAAAATAATAATATTGTAAAATATAAATTAATTGGTTAATTAAAGCTGAGCTGTGATAATTTTCCCACGAGAGGGTGGTGATGAGCTGTAGAGAACTTTTTGTGTGTCCCATTCCCCACAGCAGAGCCAGGCAGAAAATGTGGATTATGGATCAGCTTGGCACCTTCAGGCACTTGGGAAATAGGTTTCTGTCACTCAATAACTCTTCATTGTCAGTCTTTAGCCTGGTTTGGCACCCTCAGCTGTGGGCTCTGTGTCAGGAGGAGGCACATTCCTGTCACCACTCAGTGTCTGCTGCTCAGCTGTGAAGTTTCCACAGCTATAATGAGGTTTTTATTTATGCACCTGTCCCTGCTTCCAGCTGAACTTTGTGCAACTGAACTTCCAGTTTGCTTCAAGTGATTTGGTAGCTGGTGTCAGGGCAGGATTTATTCCCTTAGCACTGCCTGCCTGTAAACATGCTTCATACCAAATAAAATTTGCAATTTTTTGGGGACCAAGCACATGAGTTACTGTATTTGCAGAAGGTAGGGTGTTACGTGAGCACAGCCTCATGTGCATTCTAAACTCTGTGTGCAGATCTTGGCCATTTCTGCTGTCCTGAGACACAATTAACTACTTCAGCCTACTGTGGCTGATAGTAAAAGGGTTTTAAAATCATGGGGATTTAGGGTTAAAAGGAAAATTAAGCTTAGTAGGCCCTGAAAAGGAAAAAAAATAAATACCCGAAGTACAGGAAGACATTGTACCTTGCTAGAACTGCACCTGTATAGCTAGTACATGATAAATTATATAATTGTTAGATGTGATGATTGTTTAGTAATTAAATATAATTACTGTTTAATCATAAGAATAATAATGAGACACTGTGATCAGGGGCCCAAGAAAGATCACAAGAAACTCATGTCAATGTGTACAATGTAAGTTTAATAATTAATATGTAAGTTATATAACGATAGAATATAGAATATGTTCAGCTTGAAAGCCGTGTCACAGTCAGATTTGGGGCTGTAGCCCTGATTCCCAGAGCTCTCAATAAAAGCACCTGCATGGAACCATATCCCGTGATTATGTGTGTTCCTGAATGCTAACATGGCCACTGTGTGTGGTGAAATGTTATTTCTGCTGTGTGTTTGCATTCTGTGCCAGTGCACAAAGCATCCGTGGTCACTGCCCAGGATTTAGAATTAAGGTGCTTTTCCAGAGACAGGGCCACGGGATGTGGGAAGGAGATGCCAGGAAAGGTCTGACACAGCCTGCTCTTGGGATGGCAGCTGTAAATCTCTGTCTGCCTTGCAGAGGGATTGTTCCCAGGGCAGGAGCAGTGAGATAATTCCCAAAGTCCTTCCATCCAAACTGTTCTGTGGTCCTGTGCCTCAGGGGAAAATCTTACCAAAGCTTTTTTCTCCTGTGAATCCTCTCTGTCTCAGCAGTGAGTGGTTCTTGCTTAAATACCACCAAGTAGGAGACACAGCTGCAGTTTGAGCACTTGGTCCTTTGTGTACATTCTGGTTTTTGTGCTGAATGGGCCAGTGGCAGTAGTTGTGTTTTACATATTTTGGTATGTTCCTCCTTCACCTTGATTTACCTGATAGCCAGAACTGATGGTGATTATCAGACAAAGGGATGGTTTTGTGTCTACTGGGCACAAGTTTGTGGAAGCTACCAGGTACCTGCAGTGCTAATCTGAATTTCTCCTGAGATTCTCCAGATATGCATTTGATACTTCCTTACTCACATGTTCCACAGTCTCTGAGACAGAGAGGACACTTTTATTACTGCTGGAATAATTTTCAATCAGACTCTTCTGATTTTTCCTGAGCATTCACCCAATACAGCATTTGTGCTGTATTGTTGGTACCTGACTGACTTTATGTTGGACCACATTTTTCTGTCTGTTGGAGTTTTTTCTCCATTTGGGAAAGCTTCTGCTGTTGTTTTCAGAGCACCTTCTGCTTCCACTTCTCTTCAGAGACCCCACATATGTAACAATTATCTGAAGTAACCCTGTAGTTTTGCCAAGCCTTGATATTTGCAGCTGGAAAAGGAACAAATCTTGTCTGGAATCAGAAATCTTTGCAGAATGTTGTAGAAAGGAAGCTCTCAATGGCCAGGTTTGTCTTGGAGTATTGAATTTCTCCTTTGAGTTTACTCCTTCCAGCTCTTCTCTACTTGAACATCAGCTTTCCCTTGCAGCCCACCTGACATGTAGCTGGGGTATCCAGTAACAGGAAATGGAAATTCCTTCAAAATTCCTGGCAAAACTTCTCCCATCAGCCTGGTCATTGTTATGAGTTGCCTTTGATCAGAGCACAGTGATGCTTTTGTCCTCCGTGGGTGAATTAATTGATTTCTTTCCAGGAATTTTGTGTTCTGATGAATAAATAATTCTTGAGTGACACTCGGTTCAGGAGCACTGGTGTGTTGGCAGTGTCAGAAGCCACACTGAACCCATCTCTCCTGGGGCTGTAGATCTGTAAATGGATCTTCCTCAGAAAACTGCCAAATGTAACATTCTAAGGTCTCTGGTGGCTCAGAACTGATTTTATTTCTTCTTCTTGCCTGAAGATTGTTGTCAGCCAGATTTATAAGAACTTTCATATATTCTTCACCTGGAGCTCCTGCTGCTGACTTGTTATTCCCAGGAGCTTTTAAAATTTAATGTTAGATTTCTTAGCAGTAAACTTTTGGAGACTTTTTTTCATCTTATATATCCAAGCTGTGTGCTTCAAGAGTCACTTCAAGAGAGACTTTTGTGCAAAGTCTCATTTAAAAACCTGCCCTTCAGGTGGCTGAAGTGGTTTCAATGGGTTCTTTTGCTCCTCTTTGTGTTGCAGGTTGCACTCCTAGGAAGTGTGGAAGAGGTGTGACAGATACTGTAATCACAAGGGAAGAAGCTGAAAGGATTCGTAGGTAATTTTTCTTTTAGCTCTAACTTTTATAAGCACTGACTTTAATGGCATTTTGTCAATCTGAGGGGTAGGATGGGTGAGCAAGATGGGTTAGCCTGATTAAAACATGACATTTTTGTTACTAAAGCCATTTTCCATTTTTACTGTAATAGGGGCAGTTCTTTCACACAGAATCTGCCTGGCTCTGAGGGGCATGAGCACTTCACAGAAAGAAAGGAAAATAAATTAAGTTTTAAAGGATTTTCACTTGGCCTCCATTTGGCCTTTAAAAGCAGAACAAAACAGTGTAGACCTTATTGCAGCTGTGTCTCTGCCTGGGCAATCACCAGGAGATTAGCAGTAGTCCTTTGGGAAGGGTCTGTTTTTAGGGTATTTTGGGAAGGGACTGTTTTTAGGGTATTTTTGGGATTTCTGGAAGGGAGCTGCAATCTCAGAAAAGTTCTGCAACACAAATGCTTCATTTTCATGTCAGGCTGGAAGGTTCAGTTTCCAAGAAATGGGAGCTGCTGTTAACTCAGTTGGGTTGTACCTGGTGCATCAAATCCCACTCTCTGAGGAGTTACATGTTGTAAATAAGGACATTAAAGGACAAAGAAATCACATACCAGTTCTCATCTGAGATTATTGTTTTGCCTGCAGAATAGCAGAGAGGGGACTGTCCTTGGGAGGATCTGATGGAGGGGTGAGCAGTGTCCTGTTATTTTCTATGTTCTTTTACTGCCAAGGCAAGATTATAAATGCATTTTTTGGGGCTGAGGTGAGGAGATGGAGATTTTTTTCCATCTGCTCAGACTTGGAAAATAATTTATTTGGAAAGTTATTTGTCATTAATACTTCTGCTAGCAGTGTAACTCCTGACTTCTGCAATACAGAATACATTTCCTTGTGTTTAATTATTTCTAGCACCTCTCTTGAACTGATTTTATCTTCATCTGGTAAAAGTTGCTATAGCAGAACTACAAAAGTTTGTCTTCTGGAAGTAAACTACAGTGGTTCACAGCCTCCTGTAAAGATTGGCTTTGTGTAGTGACAAAAAAAAACAAAACATGTAATGCCTTAAGTAGCCCTTGGAATAATATTCTTTATATTGAAAGAATCCCATTTCTCTTTAACAAGCATATTTATTTTAATTTCTTTCCCTCATCTTTGTTCTCAGAATGTTTTTGTGTGTGAACAGGAACTCTTTCTTGGGTACTTATAATCACAGCCACTCCTTTAGGCCTCTGCTGAATTAGGGCATATATTAGCAAAAAAAAGAAGAGTTTCAATTGGAAAAAAAAAAATATATATTGTCCTTGTGATTGCTGAGAAAGATGTGTAAAAATATAAACCAAGATGTTTAAGCAGTGCTGCCCATCTCAAACAAGTTGTTTAAAAGATTTAACCTTCTGTGTTCAGTTCTGTTGGGATCCCCTGGATGTTTTTCAGTTGTGTGGTTGCATAATTTCCCCTTTTCCTGGATTGCTCTGCCCTTTGGGACCCCAGTGTGGCTCCTGGGGCTGTCACCTGGGTTTGCTTTCCTCTGTTTTTGGGTCCCACGTGGGATTCTTCATTACACACAAAGAGGAATTAGAAAGGCAAGGTGGAACACACAGAGCTGGATCTGGAGAGCCACAGGAAGCTGTTGTCCAGCTGTGGTTTAGATTTTTGTGCAGAACCAGAAACAAATAGATGAAAGTGTTTTGCTTCTGAAGCTTGAGTAAAGCCTCATACAAGAGCTGCTCTTGCATGAGTGAGATTATTTATTTCCTTAACAGTCCTCTGAAGCTTTTGGAGAACAGTGGGAAGGGATTTGAAAAGCTCATGCTGTGTCCACTCCAGTAACTTGTTACTCCATGTATTTTTCAAGGGGTAAATAAGGTTATTTGTGTAGGTTTGTTAAAAAAAGTTGTTATTATCTCTTGTAATAAGAGTTAGTGGGGTTCCCCTGCACAGGGCATTTGAGGCTGCAGAGATTTTTTTCTAAGGGACTGTGATGAGTGTGTTCCCCTGTCAGCAGTGATATTTCTGCTGGGATTTTGTTACAATGATGTGAATGCTCTGTGGTCCATCAAAACAATGGCAAATTCCAAGATGAGTGCCCAGATATTGTACATCAGAGATGTCATTACTTCAGTGCCAGTCAGGTTAATTAACTGGTGCTCCTTGATATTTCCAGTGTAAATAACAAAAAGACTTCTATTAGGCAGTTCTATTTTTAAATACTTCAGAACTGGTGCAGAACAAATGTATTTTGTGGACAGCAAGGGACATAAAAAAGTGTACTTTATTCAATTTAGAGAAACATTTTAGAATCCTCTCTTCTGGCAAATCTGAATACTAATCTCTGCAGCTTGTTGGGAACTCAGCAGAAGAGTTTGGTTTGAATTGGATGAAGAAATTAATTGAATTTTCCTATTGAAAAACCTTGTCACTACGTGGTTTTCTTTTACAGCAGCTTAGAAATTGAGGAAAAGAAAGTTTGGCTCTAGTAAGCCTTGGAATTCTAATTGTACTTTGAAACAGATTTTTTAATGTCTGTATTAAATATAAGAAGTATACAGGATCTCATAGTGAAGGAGAAGTTTTAATAACAAATGCAGGGCAAGATAAATATTAGTGCTGCTACTTGAGCACACAAATACTGGAGAATGTGTGTGGAAGGGAAATGTCTTCAAGAAGGGATCCTGGAGCAGAGTAATTTACCCTGTGCCCATGGGGGGAGATTGGCAATGCCCTGTCACATCTGAGTCTCAGAAATAGCAGCCCTCTGCTTTTATTTCATAATACCTTCATAATCTCTGCATCTCTGCAGGGATCTGAGGGAGGTTTTTAGTTGTAAAATAAATGTTATATTGTGAACCCAAAGGCTGGAAGCTACTTTTACTTGGGAGGCTGTGGAAAGTGAGAGGCAACCTGGGACAGTTATTAAAGGTCATAGTTAAATAATGCTAAAACCTTTTCATGCTCATTTTTCCTTCTTTGTTTCCTTTTCCAGGCATCAATTTTGGACTTGCACTCCGGAGCTCTTTCCCTGGGGAAGCATTTTGTTAATCTGTACAGGTAAACTGAGGCTGTGGCTTCCTGCCTGCTGTCATCACAGCCCTTCCCTGTCCTGTGCCTTCCCCAGTGTCTCCAGCCCCTGGGCTGGGATTAGTGATGAGAAATTTTGGAGCTTGGCTGGATCCACCACAGTTTCCATGATCAGTTAAAGAGTTTTCCTGGCATGAAAATGAATCTCTGTTAAACTGGGTGCTTGGAAAGCTGCCATTACCTTTATTTTTATGTTCTTGCACTGGTTAATCAGAGTATTTTTTCACACTTATAGTTTAGTTTATTCAGCAGTGGAAGAAATCAAATAGCTGAACCCTTAAAAACATGTTTTTATTTCATGTTGTGGGAGGGTAATTTTTTAATGCCTGAGGAATGCCATTACTAGTTACAGCATTTCAATCCTTTAATCTTTTAACATTTAATCTTTTAGCATTACTTTTAGACATCATGCTTAAAAACATTTTTAAGATTTTAATTTTTTTTTGTGTTGTGTTCTCACTTTTTGGTTGTGGGTAACGTAACACATGGGTGTGGGAAAGGAGGTGTCTTGTTGCTCAGTATGATTTAGCAACTCCTCTTTTAGACTGTTGTTTAATTTTTCAGGTACTTTGGGGACAAAATTCAAGACATCTTCACAGAAGAGGATTTTGCATTATACCGGTAAAGATTTTCAGTAACTGCTGAATGAACCACAAACCAGAACTTTTTATGGTTTTGAGTTTTTTGTGGAGTGCAGGCTGGGAGGGGGTTACCCTTTGCATTCATACATTGGATTTTGCGGTTCAAAATACCAATATCTGAGAGCTTGTATGACTCGAGGAAGAGAAGCAGAAGGATTTCCTGGTGACTGATAAACAACATCAGCTACTTTGAGCTGCATCAGCCACACCAGGACAGTTTTTATTGTAAATGCAGTCGAACCCAATGGGAAGAAATTATAATGTCTGATTCAATTCAGAAGGCTGAATTATTTCTTTATTGTAATTATGTTAAAATACATTAATATACTATATAAAAGGAAGATACTAAAACTACATACTACTTTCTCTGACTCTATTTATCACTCCTTCTCAACTCGTGACCCTCTCTCGAGTCCAGCCACAGGTGGATTGGATTGGCCATCAGGCTCAAACAATCCTCACCAAAATCTAATTAAACACTTACTGTAAGTAAACAATTCTCTAAACACATTCCACATAAAAAAAAAAAAACCAAAAAAAAACCAAAAAGCAAAAATAAAAATTGTTTTCTCTTTCATTTCTCTGTGCACCTCTATGAAAAATCCTGAGAGGGAAATGTGCTTACCACAAGTTTTATGGTGTGAATGTATTTAGGGTGATGGCTGCACCACACATTTCCCTTGCTTCCAGCAAGAAAAGCTGTTCCTGTGAGCTCTGTGGGGATTTGGGATGGCCAGTCCTCATTTCCTCCTCTTTCACACGTTATCCAAGGGGTTGTGTGAGCTGATAGACACAATCCTGGACTATTATTACATCAGGAACTTGGGTTTTTTTGAGGCAGAGTGTAGCAAAACATTAAAAATGGTAAAGCAGGAAGTGGAAGGACTTGAGATGACTCATGTTCTGGCTGGAGAAGCAGCCAGAGGATGAAATAACTCTATAATGGAGCAGCTCTGGCATCTGATGCTCTCAGCTTTCCTGCAGCCCTGCTCATACACTTAACAAACACAACAAAGCTAACGAGTTCCATGTGGCTGGGAAGGTGTGTGGCCAGAGTTTAGGAACAAGCATTCTTTGTTGACTAGACACAAGAATTCTTTGGTTATGCATCTCAGTTGGTTTCTCGTAATTTAAAATGTCCCTGATTTGAATATTTGAACTTTTTTTTTTTTCCCCCNTTTTTTTTTTTTTTGCCTGTGTGAAGGAATCTGACCTCCCTCTAGTGGTGGAAGGAATGTTAAGTAGCCAAATGAGTTTATTAGTTTTATTAAAATAGTAATTAATTAATATAATCCTAAAATATTAATCACTTCAAGCTTATTTCTATTTAACAGCTGTTTTTAGATGTCGTTGTCATTATAGATGAACTTCTTTAAAATGTTTTTACTTCTGATCCCAATATTGCAAAAATTAGATGGTTCCTTGATTATTACTGAACTTTGAATAATTTCTGTTTCACATGAACAGAAGCATTCAATTTTTCAATAATTTTCTAACTTCATGCTGTGAGATGAGGCAGCTGCTATGGAATGTCAATATTCCATTGAGATTTCATGTCAGTATAGGGGATGTTTCAATCTACTGGATAAGAAGCTAATACAAAATATATTATTAAATGCTTCTGTTCCTATTAATGGCAGTGCTTTAGCATGGACTATAGTACTTTATGGCCTTAATGAATGATTTTATGCTATTTTTGGGAGCATTTATCTTCATTACTTTGCCTTATCTACCTAGGTCACTTTAAAAATACACTCTTGAGAGAAATAACTGAATGTAATTAATGTCTCAGTATTACTGATTGCAACAATAACGAATCTGAGAAGGCATCCTGAGCCAGGGGGCTGATTTCTAAACTGTCTCTGTCAAAATTACATTGCTTCAGACTCAATTATGGTGTCTAGGCTGATATTTTAACCACCATCTGCCAAACATGTTACAGCAATCCCTCTTGTTCCTCATAATAAATGAAATGCTTATTCAGAAGGGAAACCTTTAATCAGGATGCTCAGTGGAAGGGGTGAGTTGAGCAGAAACAGCACAATCAAAAGATTTATTCCCAAAACCTTTCAGCTTATGAAACAGAGAGCTGGGAGGAGCAGAGGAGGAGCTGTGAGTTTGCTTTGTGTCTGTGATTGCTGTTAAAGCTCTCTGGCTGCAGGAGGCTGTTTCAGCTCCCTGGGACAGTGCTGACAAGTGGCATCATCAGGAGGTGCTGTGGATTGGATTTTGAGTGTTCCTGTCACCAGGACTGAATCACACTTCGCTCCCAACTCCATTTTTATGTGTTGGTCTGGCAGAGCCTGTGTCTCACAGAAACTTTTCAGTGGCACTTCCAGCTCTGTGTGCTGCTGCTGCTGCATTAAGCTGGCAGCTTTGCAAGCTGCTGAACTTCCTTTCTTTCAAGTTGTGTGTTCCTTGGACTTCCAGCTACTTCACTGGCTTTAAAAAAAATTTTCTTCCTCATCACCCTAACTCAAAACAGTGACTGTTTTTACAGACTCTGGTGGTCATGTGCTCTTTTCAGGGAGTTCTGGTCTGCCTTTTGATATTCCCAGTGACTCAGTGCAAATGGATAAGAGCTGCTGCTGACAGGTGTGGGGGAAGCATTAATTTTGGTCTGGTTCTGTTGAGTGGATGCTGTTCCTGGGCATTTCTTGTCTCTGCAGAGCTCTGTTGTTGCATCTGCTCAGAGCCAGGGTACACCTCAGCAGTCTGAACGAGACAAGACTTGCTGTGCTTATAAAAATAAATGCTTCTCCAGCATGAAGAAATACTTTCTTTGTAGCCATGGTCCACCAGAACTGTCCCAACAGTTGTGAAGAGCCAGGGCAATGAGGGAAGGGAGGCTTCTGCTGCTTCTGGTCATGGAGGTTCCCAGTTGTGGGCTCATTTATTCTTTTCTTCTCAGCTGAAATTTGGCTTCTCTTGTCACTTGGTTTACACATGAAGGACAATGCTTTTGTCCTTAAGTATTTTGCCAGTAGGTTGTGTTTGGAGCAGCAGGGCAGGGAATGGAATGGAAAACCTGTAGTCAGGATACTGATAAATGTTGAAATGGCTTGGCCAGCAGAAAACAGAATGTACAGAAGAGTTTTTCTAGGGTAAAAAGTGACCTTATTCTACTTTTCAAACCTGTATTTGGCATACTGAGTAGGGCTTTGCATCCTGTTTGGTTTGTAAAACACGCATTGTGCCCAAAGCCATCACACATCAGTCTCCAAGAGGAGTGAAGCTTTAACAGAGCCTTACAAACACCAGACAGCAAACCTTAATAGAAAGCTTTTAAAAGTGAAAATGAATCAGGCTGAAATAAGAGGGAGGACTCCTTGCAGAGCAGGACAATGGAGGAGATTTGGATATGTCAAGACTGTGGCCTGACTGCTTGGGAGGGGATATGTTTATTGTTATGTGTATTATTATGTTTATATTTATTATTCAGGAAAACAGACAAATTTTCAAACTTAGGCCATAGGAGGCATAGTTTCTATTCCTTGATATTCTGACAATTAAAAAAAGAACCCAGAGAAAGAAACCCCATGTTTCTCAGCTGAGGAAGAAGCAGTGAGTGCCTGAAGGAGGGAGCTGTCACTGACTGAGCCCTGGCTGTTTTTGCAGGGATGTGAGGCAGAGGATCCAGCAGAGGATTGCTCAGGTCTTTGGGATCAGCTCTTCTGCCATGTACCTGACCAAGCCAACGTTCTTCTCCAGGATGAACAGCACAGGAGCCAAGACAACACATGATGAGTACTGGCACCCACACGTGGACAAGGTGAGGAGGGGGCTGAGATGGGCTGCAAACATCTCCTGTTGTTATTCTTAAATCACCTTGAAATCATTTTGCATTTAAACCACCCATCAAACAGGTTTGAAAACTTCAGGGGATGAACCTAACGGGAGATAAGTGAGTTTTAGAAACACAGGCCATTGTATCCCATTCTATTTTATTTTCTCTAATTTAGTTTTGCTAGAATTAGTAAACTGTGAGAATGGCTACTCAGGAATCTCTTTTGTCAGAAACATTGATTAAAATATCTGAATTGCTCTTTCAGCCAAATCTAGAAGGAGCTGTTTCACAGTGGTCAGTTGGTCACTGTTGTTATTGATCTAAGGCTCTTCAAAAAGGCTTAATATTTGTATTTTCAGCTGTATGTGAATTATGGTTCAGTGGGGATGTGGTACCTGGTACCATCTTTCAATTACTTGGTGTTTTGATCCTTTTAACTGCACAGTCTTATTTCTAGGCTTATAGCTTAATATTTGGTATATTTTTCAGTGGACTTAAATGATTTGGTATTGAGTTTATTTCTGAGTTTCACTGAGTTCAAGTGTTCTGTGCAGAACAGCAAATACAAACAATGGAAAAATCAAAGAAAAAAACTCACAACACAAAAAAAAAACCAAACAAGCAAAAAAACACCTCCACAATACCCACGTTTCATGCCTTCAGGATTTATAAATCCTGAAGTAATGGATTAGCCAAAATGGAGCTAAATAAAATAATCCCAGCAAAATCCAAGTTATTCCTTAGGGCTTGAGTCTATAAGTGGGCAGTGTACCTTGAAGTCTATGACCTGAAACATGAAAAAATCAAACAAATATTCCTTGCCTGAAATTATTTCTTGTAAAAAGCCAGTCTGAGGGCAGTGTCTTTTGTTGGTCACATTGATGTGAGTTCCTGTGTCCTTGTTCATGTGGGCAGAAGCATCTTAAACTTATCTTAAACTTAGAAGATGTGGTGGTAGTGAAGACACAGCTTATATTTGGAAGCAGAAGGTCCTGTAGGGTGGAATCTGCCAGGTTTTGGGTGCCTCTGGTTTGAAAAGCTGTGATGTAACCAGTGAATAGCAATGGCTCTGGACCAGAGGTGGTGGGGATGCCTTTGAGCTCCTCATTTGATTGGTGTTGGTAGGAGATGGCTGTAGGGAGCAAATTGTACTGGTGGGGTTCACAGAAATTCCAACTTGTTATGCTCAATTCCTGTGGGTTCTCTGCTTCTTTTTCTACTTCTATCAGGGTTGGGATTGAAGGCATTTGAAACAATAGTTCACGTTCAGACTCGGGTGTTTATCATTTCTTTAAGGCTAAACTATCCAATTAAGAAATTACACCTCAATTATTTTCACTTTTAACTCAATAACTGATCCCTCAAAGCCTGCAATGCAAACTTTTCTGTCCAATTACAAAACATCACCCAAACACATGAAGAATGAAGAAGGTGAAGAAGAAGAACATAAAACCTCCATCTTGCCTCATATTTATTACTATATTCTAAAACCCCAAACTCTTAAGTGTTCCACCCTGTGATGTTACACACTTCTAATCAACTCCACACCCATAATCCCAGTGCTGTTAATCAATTTTGGAAGCCTTCTCCACAGCCTCAGATCAAATGCAGTGTTCTCTCATGGGTCTGTGTCTTTCAGCACAGAAAGTTTAAAACTCTCAGTATCCAAGGTTCCAACAAATTCCAAGAGACCCTTGGGAAGAAGAAAACGGGTGATTCTGTGATTCTGTTTGTGTGAAGTGCAGTGAATTTATTGGTTCCTTACAGTTTTTCCAAATTTTTCAGAGAATCAGATTTGACTGCCACGAGGGTGGGAAAAGCAGTATATTTCAACAGCTTATGCCTGTTTTCTCCACTCTTTTTATTTCAGCCCCAAAAAAAGCCTATTTTAGAATTCCAGACTCTGATTTATTACTATGAGATTTGTGTCTGCCCAAGCCCTGCTTGCCAGTATTCTCTTTATTCTTCTCTGCATGTGTTTTGCATTGGGAAATGAGTAAGGTGGTTGGATAACCTTTCAATTAAGTGTTTCCACCTACATATCTCCTATAATTTCCAAGTTATTTTGTCATTTACATGCAAATAAGTTTACATGAAGAGAATTTGTGGAAGCTGCTTTTCTGTCCTGTCATCCTGAGAATGCCTGAACATGATGGACAGCAGGCTGAATGTTTTCCTGTTTTTTATCCTTCTCTTTTGTCCATGTTTTATTTATCTTGCAGGCTGTCTGTTCAGGGAGCAGATGCATCAATTGATTTGCTTTGGCTTTTTCTAACCCTTCTCCAACTTCAGAAGAAAAACAAAACAAGCAGGAAAAGTGCTCTCTTAGACTTGGAATGCATAATCTAGACCTTAGTGGTGTTCTATACTGAATAATTGGGTTGTCTGATTTCTGACAGTGGTTGGAGTCAGTGATCTTGGAGATCTTCTACACAACCTAAATAATTCTGAGTCTGTGAAGAGAATTATCCCAGTTGGGGCAGTTGCCAAACACCTTTTTCAGAATCATAAATAGTTTGAGAGAGATTAAATAGGAAGAAGTTGTGCAGCTTCCCAGGTTCCTGCAGTGCAGTCAGCCTGGCTTGTATTTCTCTTCCTCCAGCAAACTTTTTCTACTTTTGAAAGAAGGGAAAAAAAACACATTTCTATTGATCTGAGGTAAAAAGTTCTTCCCAGAAAAGAGTAGTAGTGTTCTTATGTGGCCTCCAAAGCAAGTGTGAATGCTGGGAAGTTGAAGAAAGATCAATAAAACTTGCTAGTTTGTCGTATGCTTTTTTGTTGGATCATTATTTACGCTTTCCCCTTGGAACAGAATAAGGCACTTTAGGTATTTCTGCATAATTTAACAGTGAAGGTTATTCCTAGAAGACTTCATGATTTTTTCCTTGCCTCCTTCCAGAAGAAAGGTAAAATGGAGCCTTAGCAAAAAGACTTCACTGTATTTTCTGTTTCAGAGTAACATTGTTGTTAAAAAGATGTGGCTTCTTGGAACATTAGAAAACCCCTCTTTTTCCTTTTTCTGGATGTTGCTGAGTCTACTGCAATTAGATTTCTCAGTCTGAATTTCCCCGAAGACTTCTAACAGCATGATGGAGTAGTACAGATTTATTGTGTTTATTTGTGTGAGGCTTTGGTTTTTTTCCTCCTAAAATTTCCTGAGTTTGTAGTTACATAGGAATGGAAACCCTGAAATCACCCAAATGACTGATTTAATGTTGTTGAATTTATAAGCCTCTAAATCAAATGAAGAGAATGTTGTTTTAAGATGTGGAGTTTCATCTTGGATGGAGTTTGTTTGGAACTGAGGCTTCCAAATGTCAAATACTTGATTTCTAATGGAGTTGCTGTTGCACACTTCACACTGTCAGAGCTGAACATTCTCTGGTGGAAGCAGTGTGGGACTTGGAGATTTGTGCAGTGCCCTGCCTGAGGACAGATCCTCTCATCCTTCACAGAAGTGTCAGGCTCTGCCTTAGGATGGTTTTGGGTTTGTTTTCCTTGAATTTCTTCTATCGAAGCTAGTCCAGCACATTTCCCAAAATAGATTCTGGTTTTTTTTTAGCCTAAACATGTCCATGATCAGTTTATAGCTACTTTTGTTCCTCCTCCCAGTTCTACATCCTCCCACCTCCATGTATTCACAGGTAAGAACTATATCCCTTTTCAGCCTTTGTTTCTCTGAGCTGAAAAAGCCAAACCTTTAATTCTCCTCACCTGCAGTGTGCTCTCCATGTCCCCAGCCCTCCCCTGTACCTGCAGCCCTCTCTGCCTGCTGAGTTTGTCATTGAGAGAAGCTGCTGTCTCCTCTAGCAGACTTTGCACCCTTTTCTTCCTCTCCTTTTAATAAAACACATCAAAAGATCCCATTTCTGCCCTGGGACAGCATAATCTCTGAAAATTGAGGAGGTTGATTCTCATTTCTGCTCAAAGCCATCACCTCAGCTCACCTGCAGCCCCTTGCATTTCATAGATGTGCTCTTTGCTCTTTTATTGTCTGCTAATAGACACTGCCAATAAACAGCACACTGGAAGTAGCTGTCAAGGCTATTCTGGTGCTTATCTACACAGAATTAGGAGGCTTACAGGAAAAAAAAAAGTTTTGACTTTTTTTCCTGCATGCCAGACCAATGCTGATTGCAAAGTGAATTTTCTTCTGCACTGGAAAGCAGAGGATGCTGTCCTCAATATCCTCAGTAACTGCAGACCTCTTGCATGGTCCTACAACTGTTTAGTTGCAAAAAACCCAGTGCAAAATGGGGCTGGCTAATTCTGGCAATTAGTTCTATTTATAATAATGAGCTTCTACCATTAAATATTATCTGTGTTTGACTTTTTAGATAAGGAGTGTTCAAAAGGAGCACAGTACCCATATGGCATAACAGGCTGAATGGAAATATCTGCATTTTTTCTCTTGTGTTGTTTACAAAGAGCTGTGGAAATTTGATTTGCGTCTGTGTGGCTTTTAATGACAGTTTTTCTCATGTAGTTTGATCTTTTGGTTCAATTATTAATCTGTCTGGTACTGGAAATCATTACCAGGGTAACAAATATATTTGATATACATGGGAGGGACTTCTAGCATTATAAATAACTGAGTTTAATTTAGTGCCTGCTTTCCATAGTGCTGCATTTCTCAGGCCTGGCTGCTTTCTGAGGGTGAGTAGTTAATAAAGACAGGAAGAGAAAAGCCATTTTCCCTTGCACACTTCATTCCCTAAATTAGTAATCTCAGGTGTGTTAGTCAAATTAGTCAATCAGGTGTGTTTGGTTAAGCTAAAACGGTTGGTAGTTAGTTTTTAAAAGTTTAGAATTGGTACAACCACCTTGGAGAGGAGGGAGAGTGCTCTGAGGGAGCAAAGATTGCTGCTCCACTGAAGAGTTGGGAAAAACAGTTCTAATGCATTAAACTTGCAAGTATGAGTTGAATGAACTTCTCCAGTGGCTGGAGACTTCCTTAAATCGATTGGAAGTTTTTATCACCAAGTCAGTGAAGTGGAAAATAGCTTTGCAAAGCTGATTTGCATGAGAAGGGCTGTGGAGTGGCTGGTTTGAGGTGCTGCACTAGCACTTGCTCATTAATTCTCATTTATTGCCTTGTATTGCTACCAGGGTTTGGGAAAATACGGGGAGAAGGAGATCACTGTAATATTTCTCTCATTTTTTTTGTTTGGCTTTTTTCCTTTGAGCCCTTATGGTCAAAATAATAACATGAGTATGAATGGAAATGTCTTCCTATTCCATCTGCTGTTATGTTCTCTCTGGTCCTGCCCTTACAGAAAAATGTGTACCACACCTGAGCCAAAATTTAACTGGCACTAATGAGTATAACTTGAAACATGACTGAAAATATTTAGAAAACTTCTAAGTTTGGAAGTAGCACCTACCTCTAACAGTCACTAGGTCAGTCAAAACACTCTGCAAATTTTTGTGTATTTATACAGTGCTATTGTGCTGCACATTTCACTGCTTGACAGTCTGATGCTGAACTTTTGAGTTGAGATAAACAAAGACACTGGAGAACACAGAATTGATATCAAGTATTTTTTTAATTGCTGGTGACATGTAGATAGGAAGGGAAATATTTCCAGAATCAGCTAAACTCAATGTTAAATATTTAGATAGCTTCACTCTCAGTATGTAGTATTTATTTTCTCCCACTCCACGTATTGACCAAAAATAATGCTTTAAAAGGAAGGAAAAAATCACCTTGCTGTACTTAAAAGTGGGATGTTTGGTCTGTAGGCTGAGAAGAAGCAGAGACTTCAAAAATTCAGTGTGAAGGGTTTTAAACAAAACCTGTGTGGAAAAGAGTAGAAGATCCTCCAAGAAATGTGTATTTATTTGGAAGTTCTGATTTACTTTTACCATGAATGTCCTGTGTGGTGGCTGGTGAAAGAATATCCAGAATCCTTATACCCAAGATTAGATCATGGGTGGGAATCATTAATCAAGGGCTGTTCTTCTGCTTATTGACCTCCTGGTTAAATTTTGTCTTGGAAAAGTTTAAATCCTGTCTTTTTGATACAATGCATTTCTGACACTATATTGGTTTTTGCTCTTGGATGAGAGAAATCAATCAATCACTTCTCTAATGATGGAAATTGTAACAATAAAACTAGTAAACATGATATGCTAGTCTTGTGTGTGTGTAAACATAAGAGAATAGACTAATAAAAATTGTGTTCTTGGTTTTCAAAGGCCCCTTTATTAAATGCATGAAAAACTGAAAATCAGAAAAACTCACCAGATCCATCTGCTCAATTAGCTGTTCTCTGCAGAGATAAGATCAAGAATTTGGTAAATTTTGGTAATTTTGGCTTCCCCCACAGGTGACTTATGGCTCTTTTGACTACACTTCCCTGCTCTATCTCTCTGACTACTCCAAAGACTTTGGGGGTGGACGGTTCGTGTTCATGGATGCAGATTCCAACAAGACAGTGGAGCCCCGAGCAGGTACGAGCCAGCCTGGCTGCAGGTTGTGCCTTTTACTGATTTTTCTGGGCTGGCAGGTGGTGTGGGACTGTGTTTTGTGTCAGCAGGAGTAATGTGGGGTGTTTTCTGGTTTGAAAGCAAAACCAGTGAGAGACTCCAAGTCAGAATTACAATTTATTAGGAAAAGGACAAAAAAAACCCCTAAAATACATGCAGTAATTCAAAACAAAAACCATGGACAGAGTCAGAATACAACCTGACACCCTGTTGGTCACAGTGTTGGTCCAAATTGGAATGGCTGCAGTTCTCCTGGAGTGGCAGATGTGGTTCTGTGGGAGCAGTGATCCTGTAGAAGGGTGTACTCTTCTCTGAAGGCCCAGTGGAAAAAACCCAGCTGTTCCTCTGGGAATCCAGTGGAAAAGCTGAGGCTGGTGTCCCAAAAACTCAAATTATATCCAGGTAGGAATGCTTGGCTCCTCCCCCTGGGCAGAGCTTTTCACAATGCTGCAACTTTTATCAGTCCCATTGACATTCAATATCCCATTATCAGCAGATGTCTCCCCAGAGGGAGAATTGGTTTGTGGAAAAGATAAAGAAAACTGCCCAATTAAGAGAAGATAAGTGCCACACCTCTAACAGATGGCAAATAGAACACATCTTGCCTTGCAATCTAGGACAAAGTTGTGTAGCATTCTGTGTTCAGACTGATGACATCAAAAGTGAAGATTAAAACCGTTAAAATACAGCCATAGTTTGTAAGAGCTGGTGTTAAGCCACAAGAAGTGATTTCCTGGAAAGCTGTAGGGCTTAGAAGGGGTGGCCAGTTCTGACAGCAGGTCACTGTGTGTGGAAAATAGTAATAAGAGTAATAATTTTAGATGCTTAGCTTTAAGACATTTACAACACAGTGTAGCTAAAGCTGATAGGCCAAGAAATGCTTATAGTAGATTATAATTAGGAAATAGTTTGCTTCTGATTGTGATGGTGTGAATTATAACGTCTGTATTGTCTCACCCTTCTCATGAGACTGAAAATAGAACACCTCTGAGTTGCCCCATCTCTGAGTCAAAAAAGAGCTTAGTCTGACAACTGTGCAGCAAGAGCAGAGCTGTCACTGCAGCAAATCCAAATTAAAGCAATTTATTTTAGACTGGCCTGCAATTCCTTTGCTGCTCAAGGTGAGGCTTAATACCTGTAATGGCTGAGGGTGGGTGTGAAGGTTTGATTGCCACAGCTCTGCTGACCTGCTGGAGCATGATGAGCCATGATTACTTGGGTATAAATCCATCCCTGCTTCCAGGAGGTCTGACAGGGATGAGCCTTCTGATGGCTGTCAGTTATAAATAAAGAAAAACCCTTTAAAGGTGGTTTGAGATTTTTTTTTTTAATAAGTGGATAATTTGAAACTAGAATTATTCCGGAGCTGCCTAGAGAGGAGTTCAGCCTCAACTCATCTGTCTGGCAGGTGAGTGCTGAGCTTCCAGCAGTGTTACCTTTCATAATGCAAGATCAGCCACACTGCTGCAGGGAAAAAGCAAGAAAGGACAACTTTATATTCCTGCTGTGTTCTGTGTTTTTTTTTTTTTTCCAAGACAGAAAAGATGGAAATTTGCTCGTTTAAAGAGCCTCAGTAATTGTCTGCTGACAGTTGTTAACCCAAGCAGAACTGACTTCAGACTATTGCTGCCTGCAAATTGGGATGGGTGTTCATAGTGATCCACTCACCTGCAGTGATGCTGGTTTAGATAAACTCTGAGATTACCTGGGTTTCCTGTCAAGAACTGTATGTTTGATTATTTTGTCTTATGATTTGAAGTAAATCCTATACTGAATGCTTCATCTTTTGCAAAATGCTGCTGCCAGTATTTTGAGATGGAACACATTCAACTATTTTTCAGATGCAATTCAAAGATTAGTACATCTTTATAGCTGTAGAAATCACAACTGAATTCTAGGAATGTGAGGAAAGCTGTCTCTTCAGTGCAGGGGCACTCAGCCTGGCTGCAGTGTGCAGCATGCCCCTGACTTAATTTCCAAAAGTCTCTAACTGTGAAATTGCTTCCATTCAGCCCCATCCATTCATTTTCAGGTTTTCTGCTGCAAGGACTTTGCTCTTGATGTAGTTTTGGAGGAAGAAGGGGAAGCTGATGAATTACAGAATTTTCTTTTTGGCTGTTCCCTGTGCCAGGGGTTGTATGGGCAGTGTGTGCCACAGGGACACCCCTTCTGAAACAAAACAATGCACTCAGGAATAGCACAAATGGCCTGTATGGACACAAGAGAAAATTAATCTAAGGCATCTCTGCTACCACAGTGGTCAGGGGTCCTGTGATTGTGTCAGAACCTCTGGTGCACAATCCCCACTGCCATCCTGTGAGCAAAGGAGAAAAGCTTGAGAGGTGAAGCACAGTGTGAAGGCATTTGCACTTATTTTCCCTCTTGCTGATAAAATACTTTTTGTGAAGGAATGACTCCAGGCTGTTTTCTGTTGCTGGTACAAGCTGATGTATTTTTCATGTTCATAATGTTCCTCTGCAATGTTTTTTCCTCTCCTTCTGTCTTTCTGGCTTTTCTTTGTTTTGTTTTACACTTCTTTTGGTCCTTTGTGCTTCTCTTGTAACTCCAACTCAACTTTTAAAACCACATGTGATTGCTTTCATGCTTCTCATTTAGGAGCTCCAGGCTTTTCTAGGGATGACTGTCATAATCACTGGTTCAGTTTTCATGCTTGACAACTAATTTTCTTTTCTGTATTGCTAATGTCACTGCAGTCCTAAAACCTGGTACTTTTCTCACACTTAGCCTGCATTTTTGGGGACCTGATTCTGTGTGCCAAAATGAGCAGGTTTCTTTTCCTGTGAGCAGCAATTTGTTCAAGTCAGTGGGGAGCAGAAAGACATTGTTAGTGATGCAGCAGAGCAGAAAAGCTGTAATTGGAAATACAAGAAAAAGCAATTAAACCATTGTGGGATGTCCTGTGTTTGAAAGTGCTGCCTGGGCAAGTCCCACTGCTGCTGCAGATGCATTTGCAGCACTGCACTGGTGAGGATCAGTGTGAGCCAGGCAGCTGGGCACAGGGAGAACTGTTCTGCCAGGAGTGGAACCTAAATTAAAATGTTTTTCACTTCCTTCAGTGTATATCACTTGCAGATTATCTAAGGATTCTCTAAGTTCTGGCTGTCACATAGTTGACTGAACAACTCTCTAATTTATAGGATGATCTTTAACATCCCCTAGTTTGCTTGTTAGGAAACACTAGCTTTAAGAAGGAATTGTAATTTATTAACACTGAGGCTCTTGAGATTTTTTTTTTTTTTAACAGAAATGAACAAGTCAGCACCAGTTCAAGTGTACAGACCTTTGGCTAATTCATAACCAGATGTGGCATGGAGGAACACATCTTTCTTGTGCTCTGCTGGGCTGCAGAAGTGAATATGTGTTTTTTCACTTCAGTCAGGACCTCTCTCTGCCACAAGAAACTCACTGTACCACGAGGAAGAAAATTCTTAGTGCCAAAGGATATACAACTTTGAAAGTAAATTTATTTTTGTGACAAAGAAATAGATCTAAAGTAGTATCTGTTCCTTTTAAATATATATGGACATTTTGTTTTCAAAATTGTCATACTGGGATTTTTTCCATCCCTTTGCACCAGGATTGGCTCTGTTTGAGAGACTGTAAGAAACAGAGCAACATTTTGCCAATGAGGCCCTTCAAAACTCAGCCCTTTCAATATTAACTCTCCTTGCTGGTCTGAGACTTGTTTTAGTAATCTGCAAGACATACAGGAGGAATAAGGATAAATGGCAAACATCAAGGCTTTCCTTTTTCAGTCACAAAATCGGTATACTTTCTTCTGCTGCTAAACTCATCAGTGTATAAAGTTTCATATTTTAAAATTTTCATATTTAGAATTTCATTATTTTGCATGGTCTTGTGTGAGTTTTGGGTCTGGCAATATTAGGCAGGTCCCAGACTTCCCTTGATCATAAAGTGTAGATGAAACTGCTGTTGGAATGAAATCCCAGCACAGGTTCTGTGTTCTTTGTTTGCATGTGCATTTCTTGGTTTGAAGGTCAGCTTTGCTGCACTTATTTTCAGCTTACAAGGGAATTTGTTCTTCATACAAGTAATTTTTTATACAAAGGCAGTAGGAAAGGTCACAATCACTTCTGTGTGTTTCTGGAAGAAACTAATCTGTGGGGCAAAATGAATTCTGTACATTGGAGAGTGCAGTGTGACTCTTTAATCTCAAACTTAGTGTATTCTCACTTGGTGTTTCTGGAAGTGTAAAATATTTGATTTGAAGCTATATTTGGGAATTTCCCCCCATACAGACAGTCTCATCTTTCTCTTTATTCAATCCACATCCTCCAGATTCAGTCTAGATTATGATAATCTGCCAATTCCAGCTTTAGTTTTGCTCCAATCATTAAAAAACTGAAGCACATCTTGATGTTAAATCAGTATCAGCTGAAAGCTAAGAATAATTTCTAAAAAATCCACAGAAGTGGCTGTCAGTCCTGGTGAGGAACAAATGGAGGCAGCATTAGCAGCTGCAGTAAGCACCAGACATGCAGAGGACAGCAGTTCTTGCTGATTTGCAAAACTCATCACAAATTGTGCCAGGGACTGGTGAGGTGATTGCAAAGAGTGGCAGGAAAAGGAGGATCTGTTGCAGTTGTGTCAAAAAGGCAGAAAATCATTATTTCTCAGTAGAACTTGCTTTTGGTTTTGTTACCTGTGGAAGAATAATTTCTTCCAGTCAGGTTTTGTATTCTGATGGTGTTTGATGCCAGGTTAATGATGGCATTAAATGAAACACCATTTAAACTGGCAATGAAGCAGTAGGTAGCTGGGAGTGCAGGTGTTATTTGGGGTGTTTCTGTGAGTGACTTTGAGAAATCCACTGCTTTGTTGAGGGGTAGCAGTGGTCACCTCACATTTCCTGCAGCACTGGAAGGATGGAGGAGTGCTGGGGGAAGACTTGTCCTGTGTTTGTGCTGCACAGAGAATTGTGAAGCGTTGCCATATTCAGAATTGGCCTCTGAGGCTTTCCCCTGCCCTGAAAATTTGGTTATAAATTACTACACGTCCTGTTTGTGCCTTTATGTAATGCATGTGCAGCCCAATATTTCATGAATTTGAGTTGATACTGGTCAAGAAAATATGCAGCAAAGCTGAAGCAGAAAGCAGTGGAAAAATCAGGTTCAAAGAGTTACTAATGAAATTCAGGTAATATAACAGATGAAATAAAATACCAAAGTAACTGCAGGTTCAGCTCTGTGGTTCAGCAGTGAGAGTTGATTTCTTGGTTCCTAAGCTGTGTGTGAATGTCACAGGCTGCAGATGCTCTGATGAAGCCTCTTTAGGGGCTGTTTTTGGAATAATTGAGCAGCAGGGGTTACCCTTGTGCTTATTCTTCAGTGATTTACTAAACGTGAGGATGAATTCCTTCTTACCAGAAGTCCAAAACCCAGAACTTGGGCATCCAAGTAATTTGACCAGAGCTCTGCTGGACATGCCATGTTTGGCAAAGTCAGGAAAAGTCAGATTATGCTGAGGTTGTTTAATTTAAGCTGCAACACTTTGTTCTTAGTGAGAACTTTTTGTAGGAGCAGGTTCTGAGCCCTGGTGCAGCTGGGGAACAGAGCAGACCTGGCAGCACTGGCTGCAGAACTGGAAAATATCCCTGCCCTGCTCTTGGCTCCAGGGAGGAGAGACGGAGCCAAAAGGCCTTGGGGACACTCATAATTGATATGGAGAGAGCAAATATTCAGTTTTCACTTCTAAATACTCCCCAGGGCTGGCACACCTTCAGACAGAGTGGAAGGTGCTGTGATTTGGAGCAACCAACTGTGCTGGTAGGAGAGGAGCAGGCAAAAATTACAAAAATCCAGCAGTTGATATGTAAAACTGTTCATGTACTTTTAGCAGGAAATAAGTTCATTAATTTTCTTTAAAAACTGTAATCTGGAAGATTTCCAGGCCATTCTAAATTTAAAGTAGAAGCAACTACTTTTTTTTTTTGAGGGTATTAATACTACAAATTACAAACTGGCTGTGGAAGACTTCACTATATGAAGCAGTGATTTTATTGATAACAGCAAGAAATTTCTGTCTACTAACTAAATATGGGATAAGTTTGGAACTGGGATTTGATACCCATTGCAGATAGTTTTTTGTTTGGGGTTTTATTTTTAGGGCCCAGGGCTTAAAAATAAGCTTTTATTTTAAATTTAATTTATTTAAAATAAATTTATTTTAAAATGTAGAATTAAAAATATTTTATTTTTTATTTATTTTAAAAATATTTAATTTTATTTATTTTAAATGTAATTTTATTTTATTTATTTTAAATGTAATTTAATTTTATTCTTCTGTGCTTGACATAAATGTAGCAAAATGATTCAGAGAAGCTTGTGCCCTCTCCTCTGGGGTACTTTCTTTTCCTCAGATCAGGGCACTTGCTGAGATTGTCAGTCCAAGTTCCTTTTATGGGATTTGCTTCAGCACTTAAATTCTCCCAATACAACATTTTTAAATAAATAATTGAATTAGTTAACTAAGTTTTATTGTGTGCTTGCAGAAAACATTATTATCAGCTTATTTGCCTAATGATATGATGGGATTTCTGGGACACTCTACATGAGAATGGATTGGTGATTAATCCTAAGCAGATGCCGAGGATGAGAAGACAACTGTTGTGCATTTTCCCTGGCAGTGCTCCTGTCTGGCTGTCACTCAGCAGCTGAGATGCAGCTTTTCCTTCTTTCCTGAGGAACATTTTGAGCTGATAAATGCTAGGCAGAGAGTGGAAGCTGTTAGTGCATGACATGAAAGATGCTGAATAGATCTGTGGTGCCAAATAAATTGTTCCTGCTTCCCTTTAACCAGACAGGAGTTGATTCACAGAATTCCCAGAATGACCAGGTTGGGAGATACCTTCAAGATCATCCAGTCCAACCCAGCCCCAACACCTCAACTCAACCCTGGCACTCAGTGCCACATCCAGGCTGGTTTAAACACACCCAGGGATGGTGACTCCACCACCTCCCTGGGCAGCCATTCCAGAACTTTATCACCTTTCTGTGAATAATGTTTTCCTAATATCCAGCCTGTATTTCCCTTGGTGCAGCTTGAGGCTGTGTGCTCTGGTTCTGTCAGTTCCTGGAGAAAGAGCCCAGCCCCACCTGAGCTCAGCCACCTTTCAGGAGCTGCAGGGAGTGATAAGGTTACCCCTTATCTTCTGTCACCCAAATTCTTCTCAAGTGAGAAAAAAGCATCTTTGAAAACTGACTATAGCCTTGTTCAGTCGCCCATAGACCCCAGCTGATGCATATGGGAGCAGATTGATATCATATATATGAAGACATATTTATTAAAGAAAGAACTTAGAAGACATTCCGTACAGCCAAAAAAATTCAATTTAACTGGCTTAACACACTGAACCTTGTCTAGCTGTGAATTACTACTACTTCTAGTGAGAGATCAAACAAAACAGCTTGAAAGTCAGTTTAAGGCAAAGGTCTGGGTGAGCAGGTGAGGGACCAGTAATAATGTACTTTTAATGAAGTTGAAATACAGTTTAAAAGGGAAAAAGATAATTGTGACACAGGGGTTTTGTATGGAATCCTTGTGGGCAGCACTGTTCATTGCAACACTGGTAGGACCGGAGTATGTTGCCTTCATTTACCCTTTCATTGAGAAAAGCAGGGCAGTGAGAAAAGACTGATAAATAATTCTTAACTTGCTGCACTTGTTGTGAACATGTGGAATGTGTTATGGAGACTTGTTTACCAAAGGCTGGTTTCTTAATTAGCCCGCGGTGATGGGATTTTGACTGGAGGACCAATCAAGTCTCCTTGTGTTGTGACTGTCTATAAAAGCAATGAGTTTCTTAATAAAGCTAGAGATTGATCAGCCTGCTGTGAATCAGTGCTAAACATTACCTGGCCATGGCTCTGCTGCTATGATGGGAATCCATCTCCAGCTTTGTGGCACGAGGGATTCTGTGTGGGGAGAGCTGCAGCTGGTGCCAAACCCCACTGATGGGCGAAACTTTTTGTCTTTGCAGGCCGGGTGTCGTTTTTCACGTCGGGCTCGGAGAACCTGCACCGGGTGGAGCGGGTGCAGTGGGGCACTCGCTTTGCCATCACCATCTCCTTCACCTGCGACCCGCAGCACGGCATCGCCGACCCGCGGCGCTCCTGGGGCCGCAGGAGCCCTGCAGGAGGACAGGAGCCAGGGGCAAAGCAGCCCCTGTGACCTGAGTGAGCCCTGCAGGAGGACAGGAGCCAGGGGCAAAGCAGCCCCTGTGACCTGAGTGAGCCCTGCAGGAGGACAGGAGCCAGGGGCAAAGCAGCCCCTGTGACCTGAGTGAGCCCTGCAGGAGGACAGGAGCCAGGGGCAAAGCAGCCCCTGTGACCTGAGTGTTCTGTCCGCTCTGTTCTCGCTGCCCCTTTTCCATAAACATTGCCAGTGGTGGCTTAAGGACCAATCTTGAGTTTGATGCGTTCTGAAAATGGTTTGTCTTCATGTGCCAAAGAGACTGCAAAGAAGAAAGGATGGACTCCACAAAGAAATGAGAATGGGCTCCACAAAGAAATGAGAATGGGCTCCACAAAGAAGAGAAGAGGGACTCCACAAAGAAATGAGAATGGGCTCCACAAAAAAATGAGAATGGACTCCACAAAGAAGAGAAGATGGGCTCCACAAAGAAGAGAAGAGGGACTCCACAAAGAAATGAGAATGGGCTCCACAAAGAAATGAGAATGGGCTCCACAAAGAAATGAGAATGGGCTCCACAAAGAAATGAGAATGGGCTTCACAAACAAGCGAGGATGGACTCCATAAAGAGAGGATGGGCTCCACAAACAAGAGGAAGTGGGCTCTTCATTTTTCAAATGTTTTCTAAAAGTTCTTCAGTTTGAAAGATGCAAACAATCTTTTGGGCCAGGCCTTGATCTGACTCCCCAGGTTGCTGTTACCTGTTCCATTATTTAGTTTCTTCAGTTGCTAATGTGGTGTAGAAAGTCTGACCTAAGTGAATTGAGCCCAAGTTAATTGAGACCTGAGTTAATTGAATGTTACTCTCTAGAACACATCTTCTCTTGAGAGGGATGGATTCTCTAAATGTGGGATCAGTGGGGAATACACCTGGGGCCTTCAACTTTTTTTTTTAAATTTAATTACTACTGATTAAATTTTCAGGAAGTCTCTCGATAGCTATTTTTTTACTTCTCTTTTCCAGTTTAGTATGAAGACCTTTTCTGTTAATGAGGACCCTGAATATTAAATTGCAGGGACTTCCAAGAGGAGCTGTGTGCAAATGCATGCATCATCTTGCCAAATACTTCTGAGTTTTTACTGCAGTCAAATATTTCTGTGGGTCAGGAGGTTGATAAATAAATGGTAGAAAAATCTAATTTCTTTTCCTCTATCAAATTCTGAAATAACCATGTTGATCTGGTTTATTACCTGGATGTATAATTTCTGTGAAATACTGAAAATCTGGGAATCTGCTTTGATTTTTTTTTTTTAATTTTATACATACAGTTTGGCCCTTACAATGTACCCTTTTATGGCAACAATAAGTACTGGGGGGAATTAAATATAAAGAGGACTTGTGAGGGCTCTCATTGGGCACACCAGCAAGATTAGTCCTCTGTAATTTCATTTCTTTGAACTCTAGGTGGACTTCTTGGCATTTCTCATGGATAATTTTCATTATATAAGAATTGTAGAATCATTATGGCTTTTACTTCCTTGTAAGTTAACTGAAGGTTTAGGAAGATACATTTATGTGGAGATTTTCCTGAATATGTATCATCCACCTGAAATATCCTGCACTCCATCTCGATTTCAAGTCCAGAAATGTTTACAGTTTTAATTTGGATTTGCAGCAGAAATTCAGCCTTCATTTCTTATAACAGCTGGGTGCTTTAGGAGGTTGTAGCATCTAATCATGTGCACATTAAAATAAATTAGCTGGAAAGGCATTGATGATAACTGTGCTGCCAAGGAAATCTGGTTTTGTTTCTTCAATGCCATTTCTCAGTATTGAATTTCTCCTTCACAGCTTTCCTTTCCCCAGTAAAGGAAGATGTTATTGTTTTTAATGTAAGAGTTCCTGGTGTTCCTTCTCCATCCACATATCCTTCCACAGTGTTTGCAGGGGATTTGGTTTTCTAACCTGCCCTTGGAGAGTTCTGTGCAATATTTTTGTCTTGTCTAAGTTCTAGGGGTAAAACCAGGAAATGCTGCTGGAGGTCAGAGCTATTTGAGTGGGGAGGAATAAATACAACCAATCTACCTTCTCCAAGCGAAAACAAATGTAAATTAAAAATAAATAAAATAATAATAAACTTAAATTTTAAAAATTCTAAAAAGAAAATAAAACCCCAACTCTATGTTTTGAGTCTTTTGTGGAAATCCTAGCAAACATTGCAGGAGCAGCCAAAGAATTATTTCCTTTCTGAACCACAGGTGGCTCTGGCACACGTGGATTGTCTCAGCCTGGGAAAATCCACATAAGGATCCCCTGGAGGGTGGGAATCCTCTGCTGAGTGCCCACTGCTCCTTGGAACACCCCAGGAGCTGCAGCTCTGCCTTGCTGTGGGGTTTGGGAGCACTCTTAGGAAGCTGAAAGCTCATTTTACATCCTTGGCTGAACCCTGCTTTCAGCTCTCCCTGGTTGTTAATTTATCCCCAAAAATAAAAAAATGTGGCCATTTTTTGTCTTCAGTGAGTGTTGGTGGCTTTAGGCTAAAGTCTTTCAGGGTGGGTTGTGCAAAGGAAATAAATAAATGTCCAATTTCCCAGGTACACATTTTTTGAGTGTGTCCATCATCTCCCCTCAAATCACTCGTTTCACCTCCCACTTCTGTGAGAACCTCGACCTGTTCCCCTGACCAGGGGATGGAGCTCAGGGTGTTATTTATTCATTTATTCATGCTTGCTTGCACTGCAGAGGAGCTGGCTTTTTCCTCTGATCCTTTTAGTTAACATGGGATATTAATTGTTATTAATGTGATTTTTATTTTTAACTAATCTTTATAAATAGTTTAAAAATGAAATTTAAATAGGGGTTTATTAATATTTATTAATAGTATTGTAATTAAATTATATTAATATTTGTTAGTATAATTTTATTAGTTTTTATTAATCTTTATTAATAGGCATTAAATTAATTTTTATTAATCTTTATTACTAGGATCCTTTATTAGAAGGATTTGTAACTCAATTTTTGAGAATTTTTATTCCTCAGCATTTGTTTTTTTCCCCAAATACTCCTATTTTTCTTCTAGCAGAGGCATTGTCCATGTTTAGCTCAATTATTTCAGAAATACTTCTTTCCATCTTGCCTGTTTTCCTGTAAAGCTGAAATAATTACAAGGTAGGGATCAGTGTTTCCTATTTTTGAGCATTCTTGACTTTCCTGGTTCCTCCTGGATAACAAGTAGGGAATTTTGAAACAGATACCAGAGAGTGAGTCAGACTTGGGATCACAACAAGAGCTGCCTTGCTTGAATAATTCTTCCTCTGGAATCAATAAAGCAGCCTGGAAGTACCACCTGCTTTATTTTTGTAGTATTTACATGCACCTAATTAAAAATATCTTGGATTACTGCTGAATAATCCTGAGGCTGTCCAAGGAACCCATGGTGGGTGAATGCACGAGCTGCCAGGTCAGATTGATTGTTCAGAGTGAGCTGCACTGAAACCTCCCCTTTTTTGAAGGAAATATTCTATTTATGGGGAGAAGCTGAGATTTGTGGAGTGTTCATGTTCTGTGTTTCTGGGAATTTTTTGTTATAGTCCTCCAGTGTCCAAAAAAGCTCATTTTAGACGTGGATACCCTTCCTATTCTTTTGTTAACAAACCACAAAAAAGCAGCAGCTGAGTTCCTGAGCCAGGATTTTTCTATTCAGACACCTTGAGGTTTGTCTCTTGTTCCTTTAGTTTATACAATTATTTTAAGCTGTTTGTGTAAATGCCTTGACACTTTGCTGCTGACTCCACAGAAAAAAAAGAAATAAATCTTGCTGGGTTTTTTTTGAGATTTATTTTCCCTGCCAGGGGAAGGTCTCTGGGTGGATTCCTACCTTGGAGGTGACCTCCTCAGCATATTAATTTATTAGCCAGACCATTAAATCCCGTGGGAATAAACAAAGGCAGCTCCTGATGGAGTCATTCTGCATGTCTTGGCTCAGGGTGGTGGTTCCTTCCATTCCCTCTAGCAGGGAATTGTGTTTATTTCTGATTTATGTTCCTGAAGAGCAGAAGTGTTCTGGGAGTCCTCCCTGCATAATGGGGCTTTAATTTGGTTCACTGAATAATGTTATGAAAAGAAGGCCACGTTTTACCAGGTGATTCAAAACTTAAAAGGCTGCTGTGAGATGAAACAAACTCTGAGCCCATTTAGGCCCCACACTTCTCAACACAAAAGAAATGAGAGAAGTGATCTTGGATTATTTCTCCTTTGCTAAGGGCCAAAAATGTGTGTTTTCTTGGTTTCTTTATATTAAAGGAAAATAGGAATTAATTGTAAGAGCCATTCCTTTCCACAGGGATGAATATGATCAAAATAAACTTTGACTAGCAGGGAAAAAGCAATATTACAGAAGTCAGCCAAGCAGAGGGGGAAGTCAAATTTAAGATGGTTTTAGGCAGAGAGAAGCTACGGGAGATTTCTCCCACGCTGACGTGTCTGTGTCACTTTGAAGTGACATTTTCTCCTCCTCCTCACTCTGCTCGATTGTTTCATTAGATCAGACAACTGGAAACTGAGAGCTTTCAGGCAGCTTTCTTCCTGTTCAACCCTTTAAATAAAATTTTAAATAGGACCTCTTGATAACCATTTGTTTTAGCTATTTATCCTGTCCATTCTCTGTTTGAATTAATAATCAACAATGAATATGCTAAAATAAGTTAAGTGATGCTGCATCCACCTGTTTTAAAAAATGGTGAATTATGCTTTCTCCTGCATTTATCTTGTGTGTCAATCAAATGGGTATTTTTTAAGTGATGGTGTCCTCCACACATATTTTGTGTCTGTTGCACCTTTTGTGGAACTGGACAGAATTTAGACTTGTAAATAAGAAATAATCCAAGAAGAAAATTAAAACTGAATTAATAAATGTACAGAAATTTTCCCTTTGGGATAAAAAAAAAAAGGGGGGGGGGTTTGAAATATATGTGGGTTTTGGAGCTGTAAGAAAAAAAAACAGTAAAAAAAAAAGGAAAAAATAATTAATTTATTAATCCTTTAGTGAGACTCTAGGGAATCTGCACCTGCTCCTCAGTACCTGGAAATCCAGACCTCTCCCTGCCCATTTTCCCTTTCTGTGCACACGTTTTGATGGAGATCTTGATCCCTTCAGACCATGAGCAAGAAAAATCTCCTTTCTCTGCCTCAGCAGCAGCACAAGACTGTGGATTTTTTGGGAAGGCTTTGCCCACCTGGAGCAGTGCCCAGCTGCCAGCAACTTGAGACTTCTTGACTTTGTTTTTTAATGCCTTCAGCACCTCCAGATGAACGTGAGTCAGTGAATTCCAGCGTGCTGCAAAAATTATCACCCTCAGTGCAAGTTAAACACGTTTTGACTCTTGCTAATTTTTTACTTAAGGCTTTGGAGCAGACTGCTAACACTTGTCTTCTTCCTAATCATTCTCCTTAAATGAAATACTTCAGCCATAAAGCATGCACAAAAGGGCAGTAATCAAAAACCTTTCTGTAGCTGAGTTGTACTAGAAGATATTTCTGAGAAGTCTAAATTAAGGATTCTGTTCTCTGGTCAGGCCAAATTTGTGATTTGCAGGATCTGGGCAAGGCAGAAGTGAAGATGTTTGGTGGCCCAGCTCCCCTGGAGTGGGAGGTGTAATGATTCTGTAATTTTGGTGCACTGATAAAGGTTTCTGTGTTAAATTTACAACATGGCAGGGTCATTAAGAACTGCCAGGGCCTCTTGTTAGACTGTCTGACAGAACAAAAAACCAGAAATCTCTGAGCCTTAATGCCTTGTTTATAATGAATGAAACTGAGTGAATGAGCCAGTGCATCAATTAACTAGAAAAGCAGATATCACTTTCTGCCTGTCCCCTGAACAGGGTTAGTGACCCCTGGTTTTATTTCCTTATGGATGTGGATGGATGTGGGGCTGGGAGAAAGTTCAGTCCCTGCCTGCTCTTGACATCCACAGTTCTTCCCACGAGCTGCTGAGGGCTTGTTTGTACTGCAGAGGAGACAAAGGATATTCCAAAGCTTCTAAATTCATAAGAATTCAGCTCTGTAATAGCAACACCTACTTGCTGAATGCATTCTGAATAGTCCAGCTGCACCAGACTGTGTCACTCAGGAGACACGGATTTTCCATGCCCTGGAAGGGGAGGGCAGCACATCGAGCCAGCTTTAGTCATGGAGCATGCCAGGGGTTCATGTTTGCATCAGTGTGACAAGTGAAATCTGGCTCTAAATTAACAGCCTTGAGACTGAAAAATTACTATTTTGTTGGGAAGAACACAGGTGTGGAAGGAATGCTTGGCTTAATGAGCTTATCTAATCTCAGTCTCTTTCATAAGTACGAGCCTGACTGTAAATACTGAAGTTCTTTTTAGAGATAATAGCCAAGAATGCTTCCTAACCACAGGAGGATTTACCATTCCTAAACAGCTAAAAAGCTGAAACTAATCAGAAATATGAAAACTCCATAAAACTGAACATTTTGCACCATGGGTGTGTTGGAGCTGGGAGCTCCCTCTGGGCTGGGCACGGGCTGGAGCCAATCCTTGGCAAGAATTTGTGCACCAAACCCTCTGTATTTGTGCAAAATACCTTTCAGATTGTTGTTGTGATCCTTGAGGTTTTCCTAGGCTTTCTCCTCCCTGTGGCCTGTGCTGTGCACATCTGGGAGCAGGGGAAGGTTCCTGCCAGGGAGGTGCCAGCCCTGCAGACCCCGCTGTGTACCCAGGGAGCTCCCAGGCTGCCAGCCCTGTCTCCTCCTGGAGACAGCTCCTCTAAACACTGGGGATGGAGTTTATCCTCAGGGCCAGCCCTCCATCAATTTGTCCAGTTGATGTTGGGATTGTGCAGTAAAACTGGTGCTTACAAGAATTCTGACTGCACCCACCCCAGACGAGGAGACCACCCCAGGAGGAGGCTGGGGTCTGGTGGGGGCTGGAGGCTTTGCTCTGCTCTCAGTCCCAAAAGCAGCTGGGATGGGGAGGACACATCTGGACACTCCAAGGAGGTGGTGGTGGATGGAAAGTCCCCGTGGGGGGGTTGGGAGAGGATTTTTGGGTTCCAGGTGATGGGAAGGGTGGGAGCTCCTGCTGCTGAAGAGGTGCTGGGAAGGAGCAAATGCTAAATCTGGGGGGCATGAGTGCTGAAAGGCAAGGTGTGACATCCCAAATGACAGGGATTGAAATCATGTGGATGCACAGGATGGGGAAAGGGAAAAGGAGCTGCCGTTCCAGGGACTTGAGCAGAGTCTGAAATGGCTGTTTAGGGATATTTCAGCTCATATTGAGGGTTGAGATCAGCCTGCAGCCCTTCTCCAGCCATCCTCTGCTGCCAGGATCTGGAGCTGTTGCCTTTTTGTAGCTTCTTGGGTAAAGAAAGGTTGGTGGGAAAGCAGTGCCCTGGCGTGCCATGGAGAGATGCTTTGGCAGGGACACTGAGCAGGAAGAAAGGATCCTGACAGCATTGCTGCCATCCTCTTCCCCAGCACAGCACCTCCAAAATCCAGCAGAAAACCAAGGGGGACAGAGGCAGTGTGTGGCTGCCTCCATGCACAGAAACCTGGGAGATGCCCAGTGGGAAGTCACTTGCCAGCTGCTTTATTGATGTGCTGTTTAATTGTTTTGCTAAAGCAGCTGCCTCTGCCTTATTAATTTAGAAGAAATTACTGACTGAAAAGACTAATTCTAGCTTGTACTTTGCTTGTACTTTGATTCTTTTTCCTTTGGGGCAATGAGAGAATATCCCATAACACTTCTCTACCTGGAATCACAGGATCTCTTGGAGATCTGCCTTAAGCCTTGTCCTCTTGTTAAAAAAAGGGGATATTTAAAATCACCACCCGAGCCCACCAGGAACTTCTTCTTCTCAGCAGCCCAGACTCAGAATAGGCGAGTTTCCTTAATTTATAGCACGTTGAGAAAATATTTAATTGAGGACCCAGTGGAGTACTCCAGGAGTTATCATCAGCTCATTTGTCCTGCCTGTGTGAGAGCTACAACTGTGGACAGGTTTGGATTCCATTTCATTTCATTTCATTTCATTCACCAGTTTTGTAACCATGGGTAACAGCAGAGCTGAGTGGCTCTGCACTGCTGCAAGGAGGCTGTCAAGATTGTCAGGTTTTAAAATCAACCTGCTTTGATGACTCTTCTGTTCTGCAGCACTTACCTTACAGAGTTTGCCCTGAAAAACCTGTTTAAAAATGACTTTCCTTTTTTTTTTGCAGCGTTTGAACTGAAAGCAAGATAGAAGTTGTTCAAGGATGCCTTTGCAAAAGACTGGTGTGTTGCCAGAGATACAAGATCTGGCTTGTTCTAATGTCTTCTCCCTTGCAGAAAAATAAATTTACTTTGCTCTGCAGTGTGTTGGGAAGGTTGAGGTTCAGAACAGACTTTTCCTTCAGGATTGGAGGAGCCACCACCCCTTGGAGGCTTTGAACATTTATCACTTTGGAAGTGCAAAGGAGATAAATCTGCCCATGGTCTGTAAGGGTTTCAGGGCTTTGATTTTTCTTTTCCCTCCTTTATGAACATCTCTCACTGACTTCCATGCTGGAAGGAAAGTCCCCTTTTCATGAGGATGTGCCACATCCCATGGGCAGCAATAGTTACATCCCACTGACTGTGCATGAAGAATATAATGCATTAAAATAATCTAGAACAAACTGTAAAAACACTTAAACAACAAGCCCAAAGCAAAATAATTATTTTAAGTCTGCCAACTCTTTGTTTAAAATAAAGTTGTACTCATTGTGAGTGAAATGCTGCCTTCCATTTAAGTCCATCCTACAAAACTCTTCCCAAAAGTCCTCAAACACAACTTTTTTTGGTTATAAGCCTGCCTGAATTCACTCCCCAAAGCTTCTGGAAGTCAGTCCAGGCTCCAGAAAGCATCCTCTGGATGCTAAACCTGCTTTCTAAACCTAAAATTATCAAAACCCTCAAACAGAAGAAACAGGTGCCAGCAAATGTGTTGGACCAGCAGCAACTCAAAAACCATCAAGGGCTCAGCAGATTTTCTGCTGCTCGCCCTGCCCAGGCTCTGTGAAGCACTTGGGCTTTGCTGCTCTGGCTGTAATGTCTGTTTTGAACACTGGATGAGAGTTTGGTCTCAAAAGTACCTGAGCACTTACAGGTGAGTTGTTTTTAATGAAACATCTTGCTGGAGACTCGTGGCAGCTTCAGAGAGATCTTATTTCAGCTGGAGCCAAATGTTGGGAGGGAGCAAGGACCAAAACCATGGCAAAGATGTCCAAATCTGGGGAAGGTGAGCACTGTTTTGGAAGGCTAAATTTAGCAGGGATTAAACAGAGCATCTCTCATCCAGCAACCTCAAAACCTGTCACACACAAGAGTGACACCTTAAAACATGACCTGAAAGTTTCCCCAGACACTGGAAACAGCATTGCTATTTTCTAGGCAATGGACAGCACCAAGTGACCCCCCTGAGGTCATTTTCCAGCAGCATCCAGGACTCCTGAGCTGCTCAGCTCCAGCAGGGTGGAGTGCTGCCTCCACAGGAGCTCCAATGCCAAACCCTGGGAAATCCCTCCTGGCTTTCATTCACTGTCTTTTCTAGGCCTGCCAGAGCTATCAGCACCGCCAGTGCTTTTGGGGAAGAAGCCTCTGAGCCCCCAGCAGCAGGTGAGGTGAAGGAAAGAAAATAAATGCATTTAGCTGCAGGGGCAGGCAGGGGCTGCAGAGTCCTCAAATGTTCCTGCTGCCACCCCTTAACCTGGGCACTGCCCAGGGGCAGGAAGCTGCTTTTGAAATGTGGAGCTCCAACTGATTTTACAATAAAGCCATTTCTGTAAAATATTGCCTTCTATGGTGTTAAAGAAAAAGCCCATCTGCTGTGACATTCTCATTCTCTGGACATAATTCTGTCTCTCAGGACTGCACAGAGAGAAGAAGAGAAAACAATCTTTATCTCTGCTCCTTTGTTCTCCCATGTGGAATGTGGTGTGGAGGTTGTTCACCTGCAGTGATGGCTGGGTTGGATCTGGTGAGGTTGTTTGGGGTCAGTGAATGGATCCAGCTGTGGCTCGGGCTCTCAGCAGAGAAACGAGTTGTGAGTTGGGTAAGTAAGGAGTAAGTATGTAGAATGGGATAATATCTCTTTAAATAGTATATTAATGTAATATAGTATAGTTTTAATAAAGCTATCCTTCAGCCTTCTGATCTGGAGCCAATCCTCATTTCTTCTCTGCATTTTTTACTATAATCTGTTACAAAGAAAAAGGAGAAACTCGATTTAAACCTGTGGGGTGACTGGGATTTTGAGCACTGCAATGCTGGGGGCTGGCTGCCAGCCCCTGCTCCCCAAAGGGAGAGGCTGTGGGAGCCTGGCACGGGGGCTGGTGCTGCCTCTTTAGGTTTAGGTGTCCCCTCTGCACGTGTCAGGGGTGCTGCTGTCCCTCCCCTATTAGCATGACTGCTTTAGAGTTAATTTACCTGCTGATTTTTGAAAGATAGGCTCAGTGTACCCAAGAATAATTACTCTGTAGTGCCTTTCCCTGAGAGGCTTCTTGCATGAGGCAGCCTTGTGCTTCTCAAATGTCAAGCTGATATTTAAAAGAATAACAGAGGTAGAAGGCTGTGAGTTTGATGGACGTCCCTGGCTTGCAGGAGCACACAGAGGAGCTGTCTCTGACAGGTTGTGTTCATGGACACACCACATTTAGCTTCAGGAATCTCCCTTGCTTTGTTTGGATGGAATCATGTTTGGTTCTAGTTAAGAATTCAGGAGCTGAATTCAAGATCCTAACGGGAATGCACGAGGAAAGACCAACAGCATCTCAGAGAGAGATTGGCCAAAACAAGCTGGAACAAACTTGGCAGGTTTTACTCCTCCAGCATTAGCATGGCTTTGCTTTTAGAACTGTTCCCTCTGCCAAGCATGGCTGATAGTGCTGGTGGTTTGATTGTGCACAAACTTATTTACTATTTTCCTTCCAGATATCTCGATGGAGGTGTCTGGGCGGGATCTTCCACAGTATTGAAGTTCAGCCTTTTTTAATAAATGCTTTAATGACTGCTTTTTAACTCTTCACCCCATCTCTGACTGTAGGAGCATTTCTAGTGCTCACCAAAATATCTCATTTAAGTTAAAATCTGTATTACAAACAGAACCAGAAAAGCAGAGACCAAATGCCAGAACACTTCTACAGGATTAATTTCTCCCTTTCCTCTTTTAATTCTCCCTTCCTTTTGTGGGCGACCCAAGTAAAATGATGCAGCAGTTTTGCTTTGGTAAATTCTATTGGGAGCATTTTTATTGGGGACAAGATGACTCCAGTTGTGCCCAGAGATCACAAAGCTCAGTTTTGACCATTCGCATTTGTTAAACTGAAATTAGTCTCCCCCAAAGGTGATATATGCCAAACCAGAAACTCAGTGTGGGCAGAAAACTGCATTCCTGAGCAGAAATATTTATTATTTTAAACCTCCATTTTGATATATGTCCCATTCAAGATTTTAATAATTTAATATTTAGTATAATATTAATATATTAATTTTTTTTTCAGTGTTGGGAGTCTGACAGAAGCTTGCTGCATCCCAGAGGTTTGGGAGGGAGGAGTTCCTCCCTCTGCCTTCACAAAGCTCAGCCTGAGCCACCCAACCCCTCCCAACACTTTGCCACCAACTGATGCATCCTTTCTCCCTCCTGTGCTTTAGACACATTCCCAAACAAGGGCAAGAAACTGGTATAATGGTAATAACAATAACTTTACAAGCTACTTACACCCTGCAAAGCTGTGGCTACTGTTTTGAAGGCAAAGAGATTTATTTCTCATAAACCACAGTCATTAACTCAGTGTCTCTCTATTCCCCGGAAAAACTAAAAATTAACAGCAAACCCCAATATTTTCAGGCAGAAAAACCCCAGCTGGGCTGGACTGGAGTTAGTCACCAGCTCTGGGGGTTTCTGTGGGTGCTGGCTGGGAGGATGCTGTGCAAAACAACAGGAATGAAATTAGCCTGGGTTTGGCATAGGAAGAAACATGGGAGAGGGAAGTTAACTCCTGGAAAAAGGTTTTTCTCTTCTCTCCCCCTCCAGATGCTGAAGCAATGTTCTGCTTTAAAGGGATAAAATGCTCTTATGTAGTTCCATTGTGCTGTGATTTGGGCAACCTTTCTCTTTTAAAGCCTAGAAATAAATAGCAAATTTTCTTCCTGAGACCTCGGGATGGGAACTTGCTGCTGCCACCAGAGGGACTCCAAAATGAGACAGAAAAACTGAGTGTCCTCAAAGCAGACAGAGTTCTGGCAAAACTTCCTGACTTTCTGGGGTTGCTCTGAGGATTTCTCTGCCCAGGTCTTGAGGGGTGGGCTCTGCTATGAGCTTTATGTGCTTTCTTCTCTCATCGTTCTGGATTATGAATAGATTGTGAACAGATTATATTAGATTATAATGGATTATAATAGATTATAATAGATTCTATTAGATTCTATTAGATTATAATAAATTATAAACTCTGTCATCCTGCCCGTTCCCCACAGTTAATCCCACTGTGCCATCTTACAGCTCAAGGTGCAAAATGCTCATCAAATCCCCTTTCATTTGGTGGCTCCCCTGGTGCTCAGTGCCACACCAAGCACCAAACCTCTGCTGAAATAAGAGTTAAAATGTTAATTATTTGCTGGAACTCATGAGGGAATTGTAATGTGAGGCTTTTGAGCTTTGATTGCAAATTTGTTTTTTGGAAGTGGAGAGAAAGATGATTTTTAAAAAGTGACTGAAGTTAAAGGCTCCAAAAATTCCATAAGGTTCAGATGTTTTCTTCTGTGTCTGGTGAAAACAGCCATTGTCATTTGCCCCACAAAGGAGTGGTCTTTGTCTTTTCAAATAAAAGTGGGAAAATTGCCATTGCTGCAGCAGCTCCCACCAGAGAAGGAGATCCACCATAAAGGAAGGAGAGAGCGCTTGGGATGAAATTGCTTTTCTTTCCCAGTCTGGGTTAGGTTTGTTTTGTTTTGTTTTGTTTTGTTTTGTTTTGTTTTGTTTTTGTTATAAACTCTTAAATCCTAAGGGGAATTGGAAAAAATCTCTAGTGATTAAATAATTTTCTTTCTTGTAAAGCATGTATGGAGTTTTGCAGTGACAGCCTCTGGCCCAACAAGAAAAAGGCTGCTGCCTTTCCTAAAACTCCCATTTCCCATGTTTCTGAAGAAAGAACTGTGTCACTGAGCCTGCAGCAGCATTTCATTTATAATAAAAACACCCAAAGCATTAAGAACCACAGGATTACAATGATTTAGGAATGACAAGTGACCCCAGGGTACACAGAACCTGATTTCCTGGAATGCAAAATAGCCAGAGTAAAATAGTTTTCAAGGAACTCTCCACATGTTGTTTTTCAATTACAGCCCCACTGACTTCCCTGTTGTTATTCAGCCCTGGCCTGAGATGCTTCAGATTTACCTGAAGTGACACCAGTCATGGAATTTGCAAAGTCTCATCACCCAGATTCTGGTCATCTCAATTCTCACACACTTCTGTCCCCTCTGTGGCTGGGGACACAAGATGTTTTTAATCTCATGGCTTTGGGAATCCCAACTTTTCAGTGCTGAGGACAGCAAATAACTCTCCCTCATGCAGGAAACAGCCTGAGCTGCCTTACAGCAGGTGTGCACAGCCTGCACACAGGGAGATGTGCTTAGGAATGCTGAGATCCCAACCCCAAACCAGCACCTCCCAAATTCCTCTGGGTGAGCAGCAGGTGAAGCCACCCCTCACAGGTAACCTAAAGGCTGTGCCAGCCCCAGGCAGGGCTCTGTGCTCTGGACAGGCAGCAGGAATCCCCTTCCCAGGTGAGCTACCAGCTGAATTTGGCTTTGTTGCTAAAGGAAAACCCATGAGGACAGTCCCCCTGTTTCAGAAGGAATGGGCAACATTAGGACTATTTATGATGCCCAGTTTGGAGTCTGTGCAACACTGGAATATGACAAAGTGATCACTGATCACACAGTCCTGTGGTTAAAAGCAATATGGGCAAGGTGAGTTACTCATTCCCCTGCTCCCCAGAAAGAGAGGGCTGGCTCCAGCACAGGAACACCTTCATCCAACTCCTGAATTTTTCTGTTGGCTGAGCTCACAAAATCCAGCGTGTCCCTGTGCCTGTGCTGTTGGCACTTGGTGTCTCTGCCGTAGCACAAGCACACCCCAAAGTTTGGTGTGGGACACCCAAGGAATGCAGCCCTGCAGGGCTGCCATGGGCCTCTGCTCAGGCAGATGGGGGCTGGAATAAGCAATGAAAAAGTGGAAATGACAGTTCCTTACACTGCTGCTGCTCCCGAGCTCCCTGGGCATCACCAGCTGCTGACAGGAGTTTGTGCAACTCCTACCTTGCTTTTCTTATTCCCAAGAGTCTGTCCCTGAACAAGAAAGAAGAATATTGACCCCAACTTCATCCCCACAGCTGGAAACTGCTATTTTCAGCATCTGCCCTGATAAATACACCCCCTGAGCTGGGTGAAGAGACCAGGCAAGGGGAAACCTGAGGAAGGTCCATTTTTAATAAGCATTTATTTATAAACTGACACTTTACAATTGTTTAAGTGCTTACAGGCATCTCCAGGATCTGTGGTGAAGGTTTACTGTGAGATGCCAAGCAGGGAGAAAATGAGCAGAATACATTGAGGCAAAACAGATTTGATCAAATGTCATGAAAAAATTTGTCTCTTTTATGACGAGTTTCATGATATTGGATTCAGTAATTTTTCTTAGAGCCTCAGGTCTTTGCGTGATAGGATTATAATTTTTTTATTTCTTCCAAGGTAAATTTTCAGGTTTGTCAAGCTCTGTTGACTCTTAAGAAAAGGACCAACTTTTTCAAGAAGAAAAAAAAATCAGTGGCAAATTCAAACCACCTTAGGTAGAAACCTTAAAAAATTACAGGGGTTTTAAATTTTTTTTAGGTAACCCTGTAGTTTCTGACAGCTTACCTGGTGGCTTTTGAATGCTTGGAGTTCAAAGTGCTGCTGCAATGAATTTTAAAATAGAGACTTTAAGCTTGATAGAACAGTAGTGCACTGTAATGTAACAGGAAATAGGAAAAGGGGCTTAAAAGTCTCTTTACACGCTCCAGAAACAGACAACGTTAACACACAGGGCAAACCCAGGGCTGGCAGCTCAGCTGAGTGATCCGGGGCCAATTTCAGATTTCTGCAGCTCTGACCCAGCTGTAGCCCCAGGGCAGCACTGAGAAGCCACACGAGAGAAACGGTGTGCGGAGCTGGAGCCGAAACTCAGCCAAGCGTGGAACCGGTTTGTGGCAGAACTGAGCAGAGCATCCACCTCATCTTCTGCACCCCAAACCCTGCAGGATTTGTCCCGAACGGCTGCTGGCTCCTGGCAGGACCCCCCCCGACATCCCTCAGCCAGATGGAAATCCAGGCTCATCTTCACGGCGTTGGGATTCGCACGACTTCTTGCCCCTCAGAGAGCACCGAAAAGGAGTTCTCAGAACCCTTCAGGGCTAGGGGGTCTCCAAAGCCCTACCTTGGCCGGACGCTCTGCTGGTCCTGCGGGTTGGCAGCGCCTCCTCTTCCTCACTTGTCCTTCAGCGTGGCCATGCCCAGCGCCTCGGAGCTGTAGTCGTACTGGTTGCTGGAGGACATGGAGCGGCCCCAGGAGCACTGCAGGTTGGAGCCCCTCTTGCGGAAGGAGGACGTGAACCTGTAGAAGTTGCGGTGCCTGTTGCGCAGGTACTCCCGGTAGTTTTTGGTCAGCAGGGTGTAGAGGAAGGGGTTGATGCAGCTGTTGCTGTAGGTCAGGCAGGTCACCAGGTAGTTAATGCACTTTTGGGTTTGGGTGGTGAGCTGCAGGGAGCTGCTGTAGAGGCGCACCAGCTGCCAGATCCAAAAGGGCAGGAAGCAGGCCCAGAAGACCAGCACGATGCTGAAAATCATGATGAGGACCTTCTGCCGGGGGGACCTCTTGCTCTTCTCCTTGTGAGGGGGGTTCCTCTGGGACTCCAGGTAGGTCCTGGCCAGGCGCGTGTAGAGGAAGCCGATGATGATGCCCGGGGCCATGATGCTGGTGCTGAAGAGCACGGTCAGGTAGGTCCTGTAGGCGTCCACGCTCCAGGTGGGCGCACACATCCTCTTCACCTTGCCCTCCGCTTTGCCCCCCTCGGTCAGCGTGACCATCAGCATCATGGGCAGCGTGAGCAGCAGCGACACCGACCAGACAGCCCCCGCCGTGACCTTCCGGTAGCCCCGGGACCGCTTCAGGGTGTCCAGGGGCCGGGTGACGGCCAGGTAGCGCTCGGTGCACATGAGGGTGAGGGTGAAGATGCTGGCGTGCATGGTGAGCAGGTCCAGGCTGAGCAGGATGCGGCACCCCAGGTCCCCGAAGTACCAGTCCTGGGCCAGGTAGGTGCAGACGATGAAGGGGATGGTGGAGAGGTAGAGCAGGTCGGCCAGGGCCAGGCTGACGATGGAGCTGTACATGGGGGCGGCGCAGCGCGCCGAGTGGCACATCACCACCAGCGTGTAGACATTGCCGGCCACCCCGGCCACGTACATCACCGACAGCACCGTCCCGAAGGCCGAGGGGATGAGCAGCGGGCCGCCCCCGGGGGCGCCCCCGCCGGCCGCCGCCGCCGTCCCGTTGTCCCCCGCCGCCGCCGTCCCGTTGGGCTCCATGGGCGGCGGCGGCGGCCCCGGCCCCGTCGCACCGGCCCCGGAGCGCCCGGCCCGGCGGCCGCTCCGCCCCCGCGGGAGGCAGGGCCGCCCCCGCCCCGCCGCTGCCCCGCTCCGCGCCCGCGGAGACCCGAGCTCCGCCCGTGCGGGGCCGGCAGCTCCGGGCAGCGCGGAGAGAGCGCCGGGCACGCTCAGCCCCGGCGGGGAGGCTGCGGAGAGCCGGGAACGGGGCTGTGCCAACCGGGAACGGGGCTCCCCGAGCCGGGAATGGGGCTCTGCCAACCGGGAATGGGGCTGTGCCAACCGGGAACGGGGCTCCTCGAGCCGGGAACGGGGCTCCTCGAGCCGGGAATGGGGCTCCCCGAGCCGGGAACGGGGCTGTGCCAACCGGGAACGGGGCTGTGCCAACCGGGAACGGGACTCCCTGAGTCGGGAACGGGGCTGTGCCAACCGGGAACGGGCTGTGCCAACCGGGAACGGGGCTGTGCCAACCGGGAACGGGACTCCCCGAGCCGGGAACGGGGCTCCCCGAGCCGGGAATGGGGCTGTGCCAACCGGGAACGGGCTCTGCCAACCGGGAATGGGGCTCCCCGAGCCGAGAATGGGGCTGTGCCAACCGGGAACGGGCTCTGTCAACCGGGAATGGGGCTCCCCGAGCCGGGAACGGGGCTGTGCCAACCGGGAACGGGACTCCCCGAGCCGGGAACGGGACTCCCCGAGCCGGGAACGGGGCTGTGCCAACCGGGAACGGGGCTCCCCGAGCCGGGAACGGGGCTCTGCCAACCGGGAATGGGGCTCCCTGAGCCGGGAACGGGACTCCCCGATCCAGGAATGGGGCTCCCTGAGCCGGGAACGGGGCTGTGCCAACCGGGAACGGGACTCCCTGAGTCGGGAATGGGGCTCTGCCAACCGGGAATGGGGCTCTGCCAACCGGGAACGGGGCTGTGCCAAGCGGGAATGGGGCTCTGCCAACCGGGAACGGGGCTGTGCCAAGCGGGAATGGGGCTGTGCCAACCGGGAACGGGACTCCCCGAGCCGGGAATGGGGCTGTGCCAAGCGGGAACGGGGCTGTGCCAACCGGGAACGGGACTCCCCGATCCAGGAATGGGGCTCCCTGAGCCGGGAACGGGGCTCTACCAACCGGGAATCGGGCTTTGCCAACAGGGAACGGGACTCCCCGAGCCGGGAACGGGGCTGTGCCAACCGGGAACGTGGCTCTGTCCTCCGGGAACGGGGCTCCCCAACTTGGGAACGGGGCTCTCCGAGCCGGGAATGGGGCTCTCCCAGCCGGGAATGGGGCTCCCCAAGACGAAAACGGGGCTCTCCCAGCCGGGAACGGGGCTCTCCCAGCCGGGAATGGGGCTCCCCAAGACGAAAACGGGGCTCTCTCAGCCGGGACCGGGGCTCCCCGAGCCGGGAGCGTGTCCCGAGCGCTCCGTGTCCCCGCGGAACGAGCCGCGCCGGGCAGCGCCAGCCTCCGGCAGCTGCCTGGAAGTTTTCCTGGCCGCTCGGCTGGAATTCGGCGCTTCCCGGCCGCGGTGGCATCGCTGGCGATGGGGCTGCGCGCTGCGCCTCGGCTGTGACAGGCAGAGAGGCAGCCGCGCTCCGCAGGTGCCCCGCGCGAAGCGCTCCGGATGCGCTCGGAGAGAGCCTGAGGTGGAGGTGGATAGCGAACCCGGGCTGAAAGAGCCTCCTTTCTCCCTGGAAATAGCTCGTATTTTGAGTTTTGCCCTGAAATGCATGACAGTGCTGTCATAAGATTTAAAATTGGAGCTTTAGCGGTGGCTGGTTCTTGTGAAGAGGGGGAGGCACAGAGTGGGATGAATATAAGGTTCACAGAGACAACTTTTCCCCTTAGGCAAGAAGTCTGGGGACAGCTGCAAAATCAGTAAGCACCTTACATTTCCATCTTATTTTAGAGAAAGCAGAGAGAGGGCAGTCCATAGTCAAAGGACAAATTTCCAAGGGTACCAGAATGCTGTATTCCCTCAGCTACCATTGATTTCCAATAGGAATTAACTGGCTTTTATGCCTTCAAGCATTTCTGTTTAAACCAGAGTGCTAAAATGACTGATATATGTTTATTTCCTTGTTTTAATCACTCTTGAAAGTGCTTTTGTGCAAACTGCTGTCTAATTCTCCACGCCATGCTACGAAGCCGTGAAAGCCTCGTTTACTTGTAGGAGCAGGATTCAGCCTTATAAAAATATTGTCTTGAGCTCTTGATTGTAATCTGCTGTGAGGTGAACACACAAATACACAAATACAGCCCTGTTTTCCTTCCTGGTGCTGCTCATTCGTGTCTCTCTCCAACACGCTCCAAACGCTCAAAGCCATATTCAATAAAGGTCTGGCTCAAACATGCTGGTGAGGGAGAAGAAACCAAACTGAATTCTCTTCAGGCAGGGGGTTTCTTTATCAGATTCAGCCATGCACTGACAAAGCTCAGGTCCAAGGGCTGCGGTGGAATTTGCTTTTCTCTGGAAGTTTGGACTCGGCCGGTGCCAGCGCCCTCGGCAGCCCCGCATTCCTCTGCGGCAGCTGGACACAGCAGCTGGGAATGCAGGCGGATGCTTCACCAGGGTCAAATCCTGCCTGCATGGCACTCAAGGGGATTGACTGCCACAGACTTCAAGTGAGATCCATTTCTGGCATAAATAGATCAACTCTGAGAATTAGGTTGCGTGCAACTTTCGCAGTCCTGTCTCCTTTTGTTTTGAAGTTGTCCTCTCTCTGGTTTTTTATCTGTCTTCATCTAGTGGCCAGGACAGAGGGAAAACAGAGAACAGATATTTTGTTTTCTGCTGTGTTACCTGATTTGTTTTGGGTTACCACACGAAGTGTTAGAGGTGAACAGATATTTTGCTTTCTGCTGTGTTACCCGATTTGTTTTGGGTGATCACACAAGGTGTTAGAGGTGAGCAGAGTAATATGTTCTTCTAGACAGAGAATTACTTCATCTGTTTAGTAAATAGCTAATTTCAACTTTCCAGTTTTCCTTCTAGCACAAGAATGTTTAATTAAGCAATACCAGGCATCAGTGAGCCTGAGAGAGACTTGTTTTCTTGAACATCTAGGATACACAGATATATCCATGGGAACTTTGTCCTGTTAAACTCTTCAGATATAGTTTGTTGCCTGAAGTTGTTCTGCAGCACAGCAAAAGCTGTTATCTGAATAAAAGGCACTTCTGCTCTCAGCATGCACTGAGCCTCCTCTGGACACCCACAGGCATTAACAGAATATTTCCTACTGGGTGCAACTGGGCCTGGAGCGTGTGAGAACTGTGATCAATCAGAATTAAAAGGGGGATGATGTAGGAATCTGGAATACTGATGATTTGCCTGTGTACACAAGGAACACATCTTTCATCAGTGTGGGTGGCAAGTTACCAGAAGAAGAGGTGAATTTCCCATTTTTCCAGCTGTCTAGGTAAGGACTGCAAGTGCTTTTATGGAAGATGAATTTTAATCAAACAGGAATAGGGAGGTCAGTGTATAATTACTGTCAGAGTAAATCCTCAGGGACTTGCACACAAAGCCAAGTCGTCAAGGATCAAATTGTCTCATGAACCTCAAGATCTGTTATTCCCTATGTGGTTTTCTTGTAATATTCTAAAAAGTATTGGTGTGAAAATGATAAATAACTTAGAATCATAGACTCATGGAATCACCAAGAATGGTTTGCGTTGGAAGGGACCTTAAAGATAATTTCATTCCACTCCCTGTCATGGGCAGGGACACCTCCCACTATCCCAGACTGCTCCAAGTCCCATTCAGCCTGGCCTTGGACACTTCCAGGGTTGAGGCAGCCACAGCTGCTGTGGACAATACCTTGCACGTGTACTTCAGGTGCAAAATTTCCCCTCTGGAGCCAGGTATGGCTCATGCTGAGCATTCCCAGCCATTTTAAAATATAGCTCCATGTGGCATTTTATTCACTGCTTTGAACAGAACTTTTTTAAAGGTGCTCAGCACCTAATTTTAGAACTTCCTAACAGTTTTTTCTTCTTGTTAGGAAGCAGACAGTAGCAGTCTACGTGGTGAGGGCTGTTTGAGCAGCATGTCCAATTTTCTTCTTGTAAAGCCCTTGATATTCTCTGTGAATAACTGGTCCTCCGTTGTTTGGCTGTGAAGGTCGTGGCATATATGGTGGGCAGCTGAAAGCTGTTGCCTTGGCAAATTGAAAGGCAGCTCTCCTTGCTCCATTCAGCTGTGACAGGATCCAAACTGAGTGCTGTCTGGGCAAATGAGTGTTTGGAAGCAGAGGCTCCCTGTTAGGCACCATCTTTGTACACACTGTCCTCCTAAAATACCTTTTGGGTGGAATTTTATTGTTGAGAGTAAATTTTGACTTCAGGATAGGGAGCATGTGAAATGCTGCATCTGTGTCCTCGATGTGAGCTTTGGGTGGAGGTGCTGTGGATGACAGGTCCAGCCTCTGGCTGAGTTTGATTTTGGTTGTGCAAGTTCTGCCTGGTCAGCTGGGCACTGATGTTTCTCGTGATACTCTTGTGGCCAGTCACCACATGGATGATCCTCTTCCCACCAGAAGTGCAGGAAGTGAAAAGATTTAATTGATCACTTGCCAAAGTATCAGGAAAGCATTTTGCTTTGGCCAAGTTCAGAGGGGTCCTGACAGAGTATCGGAGTGAGAAGGGCAGAGGGAGGGATGTCTCTGGAGAAACCCAGGGCTGAGGTTTGTTAGATCCTGAGCATGTGCTGTCAGATGAGATCCATACATTCATTTCTTAATCCTAAACTTAGGGGCTCAGTTATCATCTGGTAGCACAGAGCCTGTCATTGGAATGCAACATTGCAGGGGAAGGGATGACAAAGAGGAATAGAAAGCAACTGCAGCTCAGTGTCCCATGGGACAGCCAGAGCCTGATTTGGCTGTGCTGCTGATTCAATAACCTTTTCTCAGGTTACCACCCACTGGTGTAAAATCCCTGCAGCTTGGCCATGGGGTCTCATCGGAGCAATGTTTATGCTCTGCAATAAGCACA